CTGCTGCCACGCCCACATTGCGTGCAGCGAAACTCTTTGACATTGTCATAGTCTGTCTTTTTGCTGCGGCGAAGTTTCATGTCCTTGCCAAGCGTGTCCTGGCCCCGAAAGTCGCCCCTCGTCTTTCGGTCTTTTGGTCTTTGGGTTTCTCGTTCATTTTTTTTCCTTCCTTTTCCCTTTTTGGGGGGGAAGGAGAAAGCTTTATTAAATTTTCGCTAGCTTATAATTCAAACTGTAAGCAGACAGCACAAATAAAAGGGAAATACGGGGCGTGGCTAGGCAGGGGAGCTGGTAGAAAGGGGGGTTTGTCTGTTGGCTACTAGTTACCTTTGTCCCCGTTAATGCTTATTCCTTTGGCGCGTCTTGGCTGTGAACACAGAGAGAATATGTGGGGGGAAAATTAACGGAAAAGGAGTTATAAGAAAATGTTTAATATAGGGTTTAAAATGTATATCTAAATAGGTATTATTGGTATATTAGTATATCTAATTAGCAAATTCTATAGGTTATTGTGTGTTCTTTAAAATATCTAAGCGTAATAGAAAGATTTTAAATTATGTAAGCTTAGAACTAACTAAACTAAAACTAAGTCTTTAAAATTTTGTTAGTAAAACATAAATTTAATTACTACTAATTACTTAATTTAACAGAAGTTCTCACATATTTACTATATTTATAAAAAATAAAAACACTTTAATGCTTGTGGTAGCTTCTACCTTTATTTTTTATTTAAATAAAAACCTAAAATAAAGAGAAAATATATATATAAACAACTTGTAAAATATTTCCCCACTAACCACATTTTTCTGTATTTATTTGCATTAAATTTCTATAAAAAAAATATATTGAAAAACTGTAACATTTTATTATGCCAGCTGCTGGCTTCTGCTTTTATTTATGCGGTAAATGTTTATTAATAAACAATGCCTAGAAAAAACAAAAAATATTCCGGCTATTTGTGGCAAATATATTCCAAGTCTTGGCTGCTTTTTTCTCCACGTGTTGAGTGTGCTTTTTCTGTGGGTTACTTTTTGTTCGCTCCTGTCTGGGCTCCCCGTGGCGTAGACGTCACCATCATTTTGTTTGCGTATTTAGATTTTAATTTGCGATAGAAACTTCTTAATAGGATTTCACTGTCTCGCTGCTTTCACTTTTCTTCCTCGCCTTTCTTTTTTTTTTCGGACAGAATTTTCCGTCACACACATTAGCAGGGACATGGAAAATATTGTTTCGACATTCGCATTATGTTGTCAGCTGGATGGAACTCCTAATGAAACTTGAATTTTGGCAACAAACATTTTTCGTGGCCATTTAAGTGGACGCCTATCGGCGGCAAAATGGACTAGGGAGTGGCGTTACTCTTAGGGCTTTTAGTCCCCGCTTCATCGTGGTTTTCTTAATTGTTTGACTTGACTTTCCTTAGCCACCTTCCTTCCACCCACCTTCATTTGCTTTGCCTTCTTTGTCTTCTTGTGGGCATCGCGGTTTTCTTTTCTCCTTCTTTTGCTGACGCCCTTGTGGCTATGGCTGTTGCTCCTTGTACTGTTTATCCCGCCAGCCAGGTTTATCTGCCTTCGTTATCATCATTTTCCCCCGGATTTTCTTTATACATTTTCCTCATCTGTTGGATGCGTGGGCAGCTGCTGAATTATGTAATAAGCGTAATTGGCTTTCCCTGACACAAGTGGGCGTCGGTGATGGTGATGGCCAAACTGTAAGCGAGCGGGGCAGATCATTTCAGTTTTAATTTATCGTGACTTTGATAAGCGGCAAATGCTCGTAAATGACATAAATTACCCAAGACAATGCCTCAAGATGAATCAGTAATTTCCGCTGCCGACGCCGCTGCCATAAATAAATAAATTTATGCTGTCTAGACAAGAGGGGAGGGCAGACTAGGGTTAGGGAGTGGCGTTGGGCCAAATATCGATTCGATTCATTAGGTAATTGCCCCATAAGGGGTCAAAGGGAGAGAGAGAGAGAGAGAAAGGAGAAAACCCAATTGAAACGAAATGAAATCAATGAAAAAACCTAACCAACCATTTTCAGTTTAGTCCTTTTTCCTTTTTTGTTCTCTGCCGAACTTGAACCCATGTTGAACACAATTAAATTTCACTTAAGTGACAGGGCCTCAAAGGGGTGGGTTCTATATAACTTCTATATGGCTGATATCGAGAGTGCTGTGGAGTGCCCGATGGGAAAGTGCACAACTTGTGGCTCACGTTAAGTATACGACATGTTGGCCCGAGACATAATACTGCGACAGATACTACGGCCAAACACGATAAACGTTTTAAGTCATCGAATCAAGTTGTTGCCGGGGCTGAAAGGCAGCACACGAAAAATATATATATATATTCAAGAAAAATGCAAAAACTATTGCTGTTATAAATTCGCTTAGTTGGCGCTGACAGCCAGACATGCAAGAGCCAAAGAACCAGAGCACACTGAAGCGAGTTTTCTAGCCATGTATATATAGTAAATGTGTGTGTTTCCAGTTCATATTTATAATCAGGAGTAGGGCGGAGAGGATGCTGGCAGCAGCAGCAGCTGCTTCCGTCACTCAAGTGTGCAGAAGTATCTGTGTGTGCCGGATTCGGATTCGGCTGTGGAGCATGAAAATAGCTTTCAGGTAGGGTAGCCAGCCAGCTAGAGACTCTCTGGCCAGGAACTCCAGCTGATGATCATCATAATAATGCTTGTCATAATGAGGATGATGTCGTGGCTGATGAGGATTTGCTGCTAGCCACTCCACCACTCGAGGGAGATTTGCATGTCCGGCTGGAGTCAGTCAACTGAGTTAGAACTTGGCTACATGTTATGACGTTGAGAGTGGCAGCTGAGGGTGATTTGGTACTTCGAGCCTGCTTTTATTAGCTGGATTTTACAGTTTTTGGTGGTTTAAAATAAAAAATGGAATTTTTAGAAACTTTTTATTTGAAAAATTTCTTTAAAAAATAGTTTTTAATATAAAATAATACTAAATATTTAATCAAGTAATGTCTGAAATCTAAAAATTATTTAGTTTCAATTTGAAAAACCTCATAGATCCTTACAACATCCTAGAAGTATTTGTAATATTTTATATTTTGCCTTATTTTTATGTTCTATTTTTATGGCAACCCTTTCTAATAAACATGCTAAACAACTCTGGTTAAAATAAGCTTTTGTTTTTGCAGCACAAGTGTGCTATCCGTTTCAGTGACTGCGTTGAAAAGGGCTAGATCGGTCTAGATTTGGTCATTACTAATAATGGGCGTGGTGAGAGTGAGTGGCCCACTTCCGGCTCCAACTCCGCCTTCGCCACTCGCACTGGCATTTTCCTTCCTATTCCGGCAAAAGTATGTCAAGATTTACGCGCATCGTTAAAGCAATGAACAACGGCGGAGGAGGCACGAATGGAATGAAAGAAAGTTGTTTGCCGTGTTTTTGGACGTGTGGCATACGTGTGTGTGTGTGTGTGTGGGTGCTCGTGGGCGGCAAGGGACAAGTGGGCGTGGCGCACGCAAGCTTGTTTCAAGCGGGAATCTCCCAGCTCTTCAGCACTAACGACACGTCAGTCAAAGTCAACACACACTTCAATTTCAGCTGCTGCGGGGGATGAACCCAAAAATTTAACACTGTCACTTTTTTTTTCGTGACAACACACGCACACAACGTTGAAAAAAGATAAAATACAAAGTATAGTAAATAAATGCGCTGTCATATGGGTAAAGCATTGCAACAGACAAGCGAAAAGCGAAAAGTGACGAGGAGGCTGCTTGTTTCCCCCTCCCATATATGTATATATATTTTTTTTGCATATTTACTTTTCAACTTTGTCACATGCCACAGACATTCTGATTTGCGACCCGTTTCTCTCCTCTGTCCCCTTTTACCCGGCCAAAATGAATGTGTCGAACAGCAAGCTAACCAAATGTTTTATTTACAGGGCCCTGCTGCGCTCTAGTCTCCATTTTTCGCTGGCCTCGCTTTATCTTTCCTTTTTTTTTTACTGAGCTGCAGTTTGTGATGTTTCTTTGAAAGGGTATTTTGAATTTCGGTGAACTTTGTAGCTCAAATCAGATAAAAAATGTCTTTACATTTTGTTACGAAAAAGTGGAAAATTGTAGAAAGCAAAGAAGAAAATTTGCAGATGCATATTTAACTTTACCAAGCTAGAATTAGTTAAAAATTATAAGAATAGACAAATTACAATTAACAAATTAATTACAAATTAGTTAGAATTCGACTTATAATATTTATAAAAATACAAGACAAAATTTCTCTTTTTTTTTAATTATTAAAAATGTTTATTAATTTTCTACTGAAAAAGATTGGAGAGGGAAGCAGTTTATTGATACTATTAATAATATACCAACACAATTTAAGTTGTATATGATCCAAGCAAAATTCTTAATTTTTACTTAAACCAGTTGAGAATTTTAAATATCTTAGAATTTTTCTTATTAGAATAGAACTGGAAATAACAATTGAAACCAGTAAGCTAAATAAAAACAAATGAGAAATTCATCTAATCTCAGCGAGAGTTTACCAAATTTATAAATTAATCTATCTAGCTCTTTACCTGTTCCTGGTGAATAACTAATTTCTTCTACTTTGTTGATAATAATTCAAAGCTTATTAATTAATTCTAAGAAAGTTTCTGGTTAAAACAACAAACTTACCAAGAGTATTCAAGTTTTCGCAGTCATAACCGAGCTCTGCCTTCTTGTTTTCATTTAGTATTTGCGCATTTCCGCATTGCTGACATGTCTGACATGCCAAGCAGACAAAAACACACAAACACACAGGCACACATCCTGGCAAACACACACACACACACACTCGCTTAACCAACCAAGGAGTGCAACACTGCCACGCCCAACTGGATCTCTGGGATCCGGGGGTAATTAAAAGTGCCTGCAGCGGCTTGGAACTCCTCTATCCTTCTTTCTTTGCCTTGCCCCCAAAACTCCTTCGCGCAGTTAAACTGTTCCGGCAGAATAAACTCGCTTTTGTTCTTTGCTTTCTAGTTTTAATATATTTCCACATTATGCTACTGCTTCTACTGCTGCTACCCATTTTCGGCTAGCCTCTCCATATCAAATAATAATGCCCCAGACTACCAACTGCAGACTTCTGCTACTTGGGGCCATTACGTATACGCAGTGTTAGCCGGAGCTTAGCTAATTTTCCTAGATGCTGCTGGCTTCCAGCTGAACATTGGCCGGTCCCCAAGTGTCCGATGGCTTGCTGGCGGCACGTACTCTCTGGCAAATGGGAAGCATTTACAGGATAAAAGGAGTAAAAATAGCTGCGGAGAAAAAAAAAAAGAAAACTCACCTGCCAGAAGCTGCCGCCACGCTGTTTATAGACGGCATAGAGGCCCCAACCGGGCAGTTGTATCAGCCCAAAGGCGGCCAGAAAGCAGCCAAAAACTGTCAGAAAATGGAAATATATACTAGAGCAAGGCGAACAGCCGTTTTAATAAATGCCAAGGACAGGATGTGCTTACCGTGAGCCAAAGTGGGATAGGCCACGCCCTTGTACGTTAGAGCAGACATGTCCAGCAGCATGTAGATGAGGACGGCGGTCATTAAACCGGGGGTGATGAAGCGCCAGCAGAGACGCCAATACCAGCCCGTTTCGATGCCCATCATGAACTTGATGTCAGAGCAAAAGCGATTAACTCCTAAGAAATCCAACAATAAACACAAATATAAAACCAAGACAAAAAAAAATGTGAAAAAACCCCCACTCACCATATATCCAAGCAACAGCTATCAGCTCGCCAATGGCCAGTATCAAGGCTGTAAAGGACACGCCATAGAAGTCCACCAGATTCAGAATAAACTGACCACCCGGGGTCATGTAGACAATGCTCACACCAAAGCCCAGGACAGCCAGCCCGCTGGCCAGCATCCAAATGGGCGGCGAACGCGATGACCCCAAGTGATCCCGAATAACCCGCAGGATGCAGGAGCCCATGCCCACGGTACTGCCAATGCCTAGGACAAAGAGCATGAGGAAGAAAAGGACCGCGAACATCTTTAGGTAGTTGTGCTTTAGGGCGCCATGGCGCTCGCCGTTCGCGATACCTTACCTGTGGCACATACTCGAACTTGGCAATGGCCTCCGGATATGAGATGAAGGCCAATCCAGCGCCGCCCTTCACCACGCTGCCAATATCCGTGACACCAGTCTCGCGGGCTAGATTTCCCAGAATTCCAAATGTTATACAGCCGGCAATGATGGACGAGCAGGAGTCCATGGTGGTGATTATCACAATGTCACTAGAGAGGAGGGAAGGTTTTAGCATATGGAAAATGATTTCTCAAGGGGGAAAACTATTAGAGGGAGGAACTATTTATATATTTTAGGTTTTTCATGACTTTTGCTACTCTTCTTAACTTGTTGATGAGGTTTTCTTAACTTTTACTTCAGGGAAAACCCTACTTAAATTCTTTTAAACTCACTTGTATACATTTCTGTTGAAATTATTATAACTGGCATAGGTGATCAAAGTGCCAAAGCATATGGCCAAAGAGAAAAACACCTGAGTTACGGCAGCATACCAGACCAAAGGGTTCAATAGCTCTCGCCATTGTGGCTTAAAGAAGTATATAATACCATCCATAGCTCCAGGCAGGGTCACTGCTCTTAGGAGAAGGATAAGGAGCACCACATAGGGAAATACACCCAGGAAATAGGCTGCCTTGCCACTGCTTTTGATGCCACGAATTAGGACTCCACCAATGATAAACCAGGCCACTGCCAGGCAGGCCACCAGCTGCCAATTGGGCAGACCTAAGCCATTGTCGATATTGGGTAGTTCATGGAGGATTTCGCGTCTAAAAAATATTAAGGAAATTAAAAATTAAACGTAAATACTTATGGAAAGATCTCAGGAAGCTGAGAAAGTGGAAAGAATATATTTCTGAACTAATAAGTTGGGATCTCAAGTAACAACTTAAAACCCAACTTTATCTTCTCAAGACTCACTCAAAATACAGCTGAGCAGGTGACATCTTCCCAGTGGCATTCTGGGCACTGCCATCATGGCAATCACTGCCCCAACTCTCCCAGCAGCGACTCCAAGGCAACTCGGCACCAAACGAAGCCAGTAAAAATCTCAAAGTCAGCGCCATAATGCTCGAATAGTACGTTATAGAAGCAGCTGTGGCCAGGACCTGACCCACAGCCACGCCCTTGAGCAGGGGAGCCATATCAAAGGCCTTGACCACGCCGCGACCCGTGAATTGGCCAAGAGAGATCTCCAGGTAGTAGACAGGGCGGCCAATTACCAGCAAAGCAATCAGATAGGGAATCACAAAGGTGCCGCCGCCATTCTGGAAGGCAATGTACGGAAACCGCCAGATATTGCCCAGGCCCACGGATAACGAGATGCAGGAGAAGAGAAACTCCAAGCCATTGCCCCACTGTTCTGCAGGTTTTTCCGATTTGCTGGAAAACTCTAGCTTCGCTGACTTGCCCATTTTCAAATTCCGAGAATATACACCGAGCACTTGGAGGTCTCGCGTTTAACTAACCGCAGTCGCCGACTTGGAAAACTTGGATAAAGCTATTCAGATTCAATGTCACAGACACACGCCGCAAAAATTCTCTGCGGTTGATTATCCAGTTTCGGGCAGTCTGGGGCTGTAATCTCGTCAGAAATAGCTTGCGGAACGCATCATGAAAACATTCTTAATTGGCACTAATAAAAGGTGCTAAGTGGGATGCACAGAAAGAGATTTTTTGGAATGGAAAAACAGAGGTACTTTGTATGGCGATCCATTAGAGAGATCGTGCTGAATGCTGATGAATAAATTTGTAAAGGGGTTGAGTGAGGGGTCTCCCTGGGTAAATTTTAAATGGAAATCTGGCACGTAAATTAAGGCAAACTGTGAAATTTGAACGACCTGCAACGAATTGTGAAATACGGAAGACAAATTATAAAATCTAGAAAGATTGCGTCTTATTTGTTTGCTTGATTATATCTAATTACAAAGACTAAAGTTTATTTCAAAAATATTTTTGCTTTTCTCTTTCCTTTTCCTCATTTAATTAAATAGAAAAAATAAGAATTTATGATAGCCAGGCTTAACTTTTGCTTGGTAAATAAAGTTTCTTGCATCAGGCTTTTTTAGATTTATGGCTCAAGTATATATATGTATTTATTTCGAAAAGCCATCAAAAAGAATCTATGAAATTTCGCACAAACATTTTCCAGTTAGTTGGCAAAGAGCTTTAACTTATATATATTACCAAGACTACTATCTTTCCTGTTCCTTGTCTGTCTCTCCAGCTGACTGTTTGTCGGAAAGTTTTTAATAATTTTCAAGAGTTTTCTAATTAACATCCCTGCCAGGCAGGCAGGCAGGCAGACAAGCAGGCTGCAACTGAAGTTGGCCAAGAAAAAAGCAAGTAAGTGGAGAAGGAGCAGCAAAAGGATGGCCCAAAAGGCATTGGGAGATAGTTGGTTAAATGCCACTGAATGCCAGTTGAGTGTGCCATTACGGTGACAATTTTAAATGGGTTTTTAACAACTTTCCCCAGATTTATGGCAATTAAAAGCCTTTGATAATTCTGATTGCCATTGGGTGCTCCTCCCTCTCTTTGTGTGTGTGTGTGGGGGCTTTTCCCTGGCAATCCCATTCCGATAATTGAGTCTAATGCAACTGAATGCCCTTTTAACATAAATGATTTGAGTTTTGGAGGGGTTTTCACTGGGAGAATGTTTTAGTGGGACAGTGGAAGTAATTTATAAGCTTAAAAAATCTTTAAGAATATAAGAATAATATTTTTTCTTTACATTTACATTTTTAAACCTTTTGAAAGTAGTTTACATTATTTTAAGATGTTAAAATCAGTCTATAAAATATATATAAATTTAAGAATAATATTCTCCATGAGCTTTAAACCAAGAAACCTTTCTTTTACATTTTTTTTAACCCTTTTAATACCAGTTTTCCTTCTGATTTCAAGTTTTCAAGTATCTCAAGTATCTCAAAAAACCCAACACAATTCCCGCATTTGTAAGAATTTGAAATTGTGCAATTTATTTGAGTGTTATGTGACTCCTCGCAGTTGTTTTTGTGTTTTTAATACCACAAATTATCGCACATAAATAGCCATTAGATGGGTGTGAGTGTGCTCCTGGTGTTTGGGTTAATTAAAGTGCAGTGCATTAGCTTGGAAAGTGCAAAAGGAAAAGCTGAGGAGATGGTAAAAGCGAGGTCAGCGGGTAGGGAAGTGTAACTAACTTTAATTGCAGCTGTAAAATGTTGTTACTTGGGCACGCAGATTTCGCAAAAGAGTGCCAACAACAAATACAACAATGGCACCGAAATGAGGCAAATAAAATTGGGGGAAAAACTTTTTCGATGGCTCAGGCACAACATGTGTGTGTGTGGCTTAAGGATGTGTAAGGATCGATAAAGGGGAGGTTAAGGAAGGTTTTTGGGAAGGAAGGAAGGAAGGCAGGGGAAAACTTGAAGCTCGTTTGCAGGCCCATTAACAAGCAAAAAATGAGCACTGCAATTAGTTTTCCTTTTCTTGTTCAAGCCAGAAACCAGAAGAGGCCCCTTTGCGCTACCATTTTCCTCTCTTTGTTTCTTTGGCTTTTCCATGGAATAAAGTTTACTTTTTAAATTGATTTCAATGGACTTTGTAACAACTTCCGTTTCCGCTTCACCTGCCTATGTATTGGCAATTAACACACATCTCTAGAACACACACTTCCCACACACTCACACTCCACACACACTCTCACATCCCACAATACTGTTTAGGTTTCGCAATTTTCCATCCAATCAACTTTTGTTCCACCACCCCAACCGCCTCTAAAAATGTCACAGCCTGTCAAATGCCAGCTTTTTCTCTCTTCTGCGTTTCACCACTACTTTTTACCTACATTTTCATTGAGTTCCCATTTAATTTGAAATTAATTTTTAATCAACTTCAATTGAATTAAAATGCGTTGACTGCGACAGCTCGACAGAGAGAGACATTACGAAATGAAATGAAACTTTTAACTTCAAATGGTGAACCTAGCCCTGTAAATAAATTAGCCTCATTTATTATTGAATCGAAAAATGCGTTAATATTAATTATAAATTACATTTTCCTCGTTCCATTCCATTTTCGTTGCAGGTGTGTGCGACGACCAAGCGGAAATTAACTTTGGGTGAGTAGAGAGAAACTACAGAAAATTACGTATACGTATATTACGTATACGTACGCAGAGAGGTGGTTGTTGGGCCATGTGTTAGCTGGCTTACGAGTCCACTACGTGTTGCCGTCTAAATGGGTTGTTGCTTTTCCGCTTGGAAAATATATTTACACAGAGAAAAAAAAGGGTTTTAACTATAACTTATTTATTTTTGAGTGAAAATAGGTCTGAAAATAATTTAAAAAGTCTGAAAATTTCAAAATAAATTAGTTTACTTGTAGAAAAAATATAAAAACTGAACAGGAACTCGGACAGTATTATAAGTAGATGCCTTATAATTTGTAAAAATACTTCTATACTTCACCAAAAAAGTTTCTGGCTTACTGGAAATAGCAGTTTTATACTTTTATTCAAAGATTTAGCAACCTTTTAATATCTAAAATATCTTAAGAATATAATGTACCTAAAAATCTAAGATTAACTTAATTTTTAACATTTTTCCCTCAGTGCCTAACTTATTTTTAAAGGGTTTATAGGACCACAGCAATCACTTCTCCAGCTTTCCCTGCTGAAGCTGCTTCTGTGGCTCCCCTCGTTATTTGTTTCGCTTGGCGCGTGCCTCAATTATGAGACCAAGTTAACATCCACTTGAATGCATCGCGAAATAGCAATAGCAATGGCAACATAGTTGCCCCGGCCAAATGTCAAGGGAAGCAGCAGCCAGCGGAGGTAGGAGAAGGTACGAAGCCAGGTGGAAACTCTGGCCAAGTGTTTAACCCAGTTCGCAGTTTGGTGCAGCCTCACGGCTCCCGATCCTGATGCAGCTTTAGTGGCCGCCTTTGTTGCCATTGTTGTTGATTGTTTGCCGCTTGTTTGCTGCTCTTGCACTTGCCGCACGTAATTGTTGCAGTGCTTGTTATTTTCCCGTTGCCTCGAAAAGTTATTAAAATGAAAAAGGCAAAAGCAAATCGATTATGCCGGATGCAGTGCACCAGCAGCACCAGCAGAGTTCCAGAGCAGGAGCAGCTCCAGCCATTGGAACTCTCACAATTGCTTCAACTTTTTTGCCACACACAAAACTTTTATTTTGCAAAAAAAAAAAGGAAAATAAAGCGAGAAAAGAAAGAAAGGGAGATGAAAGGCTGGGAGTGGAGGTACAAAACTTTAAATTGACATCGAATGGCAAAACCGAAAGCTGCTGTGGCATGCTTAACAAACAGTGCCAATACCTAACAAAAGTGAAAAGTTGTCGAAAGTTTTCTTTGCCGAAAAATGATAAGCCGACACCGGTCTCTAGCCCCTCGCCTTATCCCCAAAAGTCACGCACGCTTTTCGATTTAGAGGGGGGCTGAGAAAGGGACTAAGGTCGAAAGTTTTTTTAGATTTAACGGAGATGGTGATACAAATCGATTTTTCAGTGATTCGATTTTTAAATCGATATCAAAAGTATTTGTGGAATTTTGTTTCGATATTTAGTTAGATATATAAATATGGATATAAGTAATACAAGGATATATTCAATACTTATTTGTATAAAACGATATTTTTCGATGTTTAAAATTTCTATATATTTCGAGAAAATTAAACTTTATCATAGGTACACAGTTAAATATACTTTTTAAAACCAATATATCCTTATTTTTTTAAACCTTGTTTTACTATTACTAAACTTTCTTTCAATTCCGATATTTTTATCGATATATCTTAGGTTTCCTCTCTATATAGAAACATCTCTATCTGCTACAGACCGTTCCACGGGGCGTATGGGTAACCGTTTTTTTATATGCAAGGCCAGCAATGTCTTTGGCTTTGTGTGTAATGCGAGTTTAACAACTGAATTGTTGACTGACATTTAAATTTGCCAACACAATTTGCATTTCTTTCTCTCAACTCTCGGCCCCTTGAATGCCCTTCCTCTCGTACCCCACCCCCCCTCGTGCTGTCACTCGACTTGGGGGGGGGGCTTTGTGTGTGGAATTTATGCAAATAATAAGCATTTCCTTTTTGGGTGTCTCCATTACTTGCTTGCCACGTCTAATTTTCGCCTAACTTTTTGGTGGTGGTGGAAACCACCCACTCTCCATGTTCGTGTTTGAGTTGGCAAACAAATTTCAATTGCAAGTTTGGCGGCATTATTTCTTTGCTCTTTCCTTTTCCTCCTTTGACTTTGATGTAATTTAATGTGGCATTTGGCTTGCACTTTGGCTTTGGTAGTTTGGCCACACATGTTCTACCCCATCCTGCTGCTGCAATTAAATATGAAAAGTAATTTTTATGGTAAAGAAAAACTGGCACTGCCAGTGGAAATCCATTCGTTTTTTGGACTTATCTGCATTTCACTGTTGACAGGCCAAAGGAAAATCCCTAGAAAAAAAGAAGACGGCGAGCTGCCAACACGACCAAATGTAATTTGCATGCCAAGAAATAATTTTATAGCTCTTTTGGATTTTGCACTTGCCTGACTCGGTTGCTTCTCTTTTTTTGTGCACACGAAGTGCTTAAGCAGGGAAAGAAATTTGGAAAATTTAAAAAGGATTTTCCTTGCTTTTGGCAACAATTTTAATAAGAAAAATTTGAGTAGAACTGCCTTATAATTTGTAATTAAATTATATTTATTATATTATTTTATTTATACCTTCTTTTGAATAACTATTTTTCCTGCTTAAATTATTTATTATTTTAGCCTTAATATCCCAACTTATTTCCCTCAGTGCCTTAACTATCGCTTCGCATTCATTGAAAAATGTCTTTGGCAGCTGCTGGAGAACGTACTTAAATTGAACTTGACAACTCTTTCTGGTGGAAATATCAGGGATTTCCTTGGAAAAGCTTCGCCTCCCCCTTTTTCAACAAGTGTGTCGCTTTAATATTGGCCCAAAAAAAGCACATTTTTGCAGCGTAATTGGGAGTGAAAATCTTTTGGCGTATGCGCAATCTCATTGTCAGCCAACTGGCAGAAATAGTTTGGCTTAAACTGAATATTTACGGTCATTGCCTTGATAATAATTATTTTGCGCTGGCCTGGCCTGGCTTTATGCCAACATTTTGAGGGAAGGGAGAGACGACTGGCTGAAGCCTCTTGTGGCTTTGACAGCCGACAACTGACACTTGAGGCGCCCTGTTAACGTCGTTTACCATATTTACGCTTTAAACGTTATTTATTTGCCAGGCTTTTTGCCAGGACATTCTCAGTACCCTCCCAAAAAGTCTGCCGCCGCCAGACTTTGATATTGTCAAAATGTAGCACGCCCAAAGTGTTAACCAGTGGAAGTGTGGCAAGCCGCAGACAATCTGCCAGGGCTTTCCTAAACCCCAAAATGGGTTATGGATGAGAGTGCGAGAAGCGGGGCCAGATTTCCAGGGCTTAAGTTAAGGCCAAAAATGTCGCACTAAGTGGCTTTTTATCAAATGTCCTTTGTCTCCTTATGCCACTATAGCCTGTATACAATATATATATGTTCCTTTTGGCTTTAGTGTCATCTACGTGCTGGGGAGGCGTGGTCAGTGTAGGCACTTAGCCGTTTGTTGGGGGGCCTAAAATAACAATGATTAAATGAAATTTTAGGAAGTTTTCCACCCCTGTATACCCATTCCATTCCCCTTGGGGCAAAGCTCTCAAGTCTAATTACAATTGGGTTTGTTTTTTCCCCAACGCTTCCCTGGAGCTGGGGGCACACACTCACTATAGTTGCGTAGGAGTTGGCCAATTTCGGGGTCCCTTGATGGTGCCAGTGGCAGTGCCAAGCGTGAAAAGTGCCGCGAGAAGTTCACCAACAACATGTTTTCAAAAAAAAAAAAAGAAGACAAAAACAACACGCGAAATGGAGTTGTTTGGGAGTTTGTCCGTTCGCAAGCGACGCGTTGCCTGCCATGTTTGCTCTCTGTCTCAACTTGTCACGAACAAAAGCGCGTCCAGAAACGCTTCCTGAAAGTGTATACACTTGAAGAAAATTTTAAAATTTATTTAATTAGGTTTTGTGGTGGATTTTTGTAAGAGAAACGTTAAGGTTTAGCACAGGTTAGTCTTAAACGCTGATGAAATAGATTGTTTCTCCCTAAGAACAAAGTTTTTACTTACTTCAAAATAAATATTACTTATTTATTATACTTAAACACAATTTTCTTTAAGCCAAGGCATTAAAGATTATTAATAAAATAAAGAAATACTTTCTTATACACTTCAGAATTCAATTTCATTAAGAGTCCCAAGTGTCAAGTTGCTCAAAAAGTGATTCTTCTATATTCTGGTTCAAACAGCCAACGTTTAGCTATTAAATTCCTTTTTAACTATAATTTTTTATATTAAGAATCACTAAATTTAAATTAATTTAATACATTTCCCACATCTTTTGTCACTATAAGGCTTATCTCTGCAATTTGTCCTGTGCATTAGTGTCGGTGCTGTGGCCTCTGATGTTGCTGCTGCCGTGCATTGTCAACAGCAGCAGCAACAAGAGCGACAACAGCAACGCCAAGAGCAGGAGTAGGAGGCAAAGCATGACCAGGAGCAGGAGCAGGAAGAGCAGGCAAGGGCAACATCAGAAGTAGAAGCAGGGGCAGCACTTGATTCGATGCACAAACAAGGCTCTTCCTCCCTCTTCTCCACTCTCTCTCTCTCTGTCGGGCGTAATTACACGCCATGTCTGTTCCATTCAGGCGCCATTTTCCATACCGTCCGTTCCTCAGCATTTTCCATGCCACTTCCATTTCCATATACACCACCAGCCATCAGTTTCCGCGCTCGTCCTGTTTGATGTCTATGTGTATGTGTGTGTGTGCGTGTTTTATTTCGAGTGCCATTTGTTTTAATTAAAATTATTTAAAGCATTTTTCAGCTTCAAGTGCCCCAGAGCTTCGACAAGGCGACAGAAAACCCAACAATTAAAGTTTTGGGCTTGAAACCAGATATTAGACACTATGGCCAGGCCACAGAAGTTCGGTCAGGTTTTTGAGAAATTGTAGCTTTGAGAGTAATACGAGATAGAGTTATCCAATTAATTCAATTAGTGGCTGGCCCAAGGGAATGTTAAATAATTGCCAGGCCACAGTACAGCACGATATATATATATATGTATTTATATATATATTTATACGAAGTGTCAGCAGCACAAAACGTACATACAAACAGTAAATTAAAGTTTGAAATTAAATTAAAATTGGTTATTACTTTTTTCTGCTATTGACACTTTTTCTACACTTTACTTTAGTTTTTTTTATGAATTAATTCAAATTAGATGAACAAAAAAGCCTTTAAAGATGGTTTTCAGTGGCATAAAGGAAGCTGTTTTATATTTTTTCTTAATTAAAGTTTTTCTTTTTACAATTTAATATTAAATATACAAGCAGCTGCTGTTTTATTAGCTTAAATAAACAAATTTTATGCCTGAATCCTGAATAAGAAATATAGTTGAGACCTTTTGAAAGCAAGTAATATTTATATTTCATGAACTAAAAACTTTATGGGACTTTTGGGAGAGCCAACAACTTTTTTTGTTTTTATGATAGCAAACGTGCTGTATACGTTTCATACATTTTATCCGATTTAAATAGAACCGATTTCGTGCTCAAATAGTAGACAACATGATATTTATTGCCTTTTCTGTGTGTGTTTGTGTGTGTGTTTATGCGACTCCTTTTTTTGCATGCTGCAGGGCAGCAGGACTTTATTGTCCACCTAAATTTCGTTTTGCTGATTTGTTTGCCGACGAATCGCTTTTTATTTGTATTTTTTGTTGCGGTAAATACATGCATAGAACCTCTACAGTTACACCTAAATTACAGTCGAGGTCAAGAAAATAGCTCTATCAAAGAAGGAAATTTTTTAAGTACATTAAATATATTTTTCGTTCATTTAAACTATTATTATAAAGAGTTTATATTATATTAAGATGTGGTTTTTAAGAAGTCTGGTAGCTCTAGCTTTTATATTCTTTTTAAATTAAATATTAAAAGCCTTAAACCAGCATATAAATTTTACTTAAATTATTAATTTTTTAATTTAAAGAATACTATATTTTTCATAATATATTATTATTAATTCTATTATTTCTACCGCTGCTGTGCACTGGCAATACAATATCAAACGCCGCTATAAGAGACACTTAACAACGGTTCTTCGGCCATTTTGTTTGTGTTACTGCCATTTGGTCTTTTTGCTTTTGTTGTTTTTGCTGTTTGTGCACATAAATGAGAAAAACCAACGTGGCAACCATAAAACACACACACACACCCGCACTTGTACACACACAGTAAAAGAGAAATACGCACAGAGACACATTCTCATGTTTGCACAATAAAATTTCAACAATATACGCGACAGGCAGCAGCAGCAGCACCAGCAGCAGGGTCTTTGTACTTGAGTAAATTGGATCTGTGCAGCGGCCCATGATGCGGGGCAAAATAGGGCGGGAGGGGATGTTAAAATTAAATAAATATTTGCCTTTAAGCTCCCACCCAACCCAACGCCCACCCACTCAGCGGTATTTAAAGCAGGCAACCGCAGAAACGGAAGCCCGAAACAAAAGTATTCAGTCTCGAGTCCTGGAATCGCCGAAAAATCGTTGCAAAAGTATTTCCACTTGGAAATTCCCTTGCCCCCAAAGGGTTTTTTACACCCCAGCTAGCTTTATTGTCCAGATTCTAAGGGGGTTTTTACGACAACAGCTGTCCGTTTACAGTGAGAACTATACACAAATGTGCCTTAATTGCTTTATTTATTTTTATAGCAATAAAAAAAAAAAAAGAGAAAATATATTGTGGCAGTCATAATTAAAGCAGAGATACTGGGTGCGGGTAAGAAAGCCTTCTAAATTAATGACTAGGATTAGTTGGCTTTTATTATTATGGGTATAAATATTTAATATGCGGAATATTGGCAGTTTATATAACAATTAATTTAATTATGAAGCCTTAATTTACTGTTTTTATTAAGCCAATAAAAAGAGGGTTTTAATTGAGGTTTAGTTTTGGATTATTTAATAATATTTCTGGTATAATTTAGGGAGCAAACAATTTTTTTTTATTGTTATTTACATTTATAATTTATTTGATTTATTTCTTATATTTTTTTTGATTAGTTTTCTTTAGTTTTTATTAGTTTTTTAAACTCTTTCTTTAATAAATTTTATGTAAACCCCCAAATATCTGCCACAAAACTCAGCTCAATGTAAGGTTTCCATAACTTTTTAAATATTTATAAAATTTAATAAGGCATTTAAGCGTTGTATTTACATTTTCATTCGCTATTTTTCTTTCATTTCATTTCATTTCATTTCATTTCCTTTCTTTTTTTTATATTTTTGCTGTTTATTATTTGCTTTGTGACTCCGCACACATGGGCCATAAATGATTCATAAACATTTTTTGAAATGACAAAAACGAACTACAGTTAATGTATGCACACACATCTGGCTTTTTGTAATTAAACAATTTATGAAATGAACTTCAACTCAATGAAATTCTTTGCAAAATTGGATAATGCTTTAAATAATAAATATTTTCATACGAGCAGAACAGCTGTTGTTACACAAAAGTCTTGCAACCTGATTTCACCTATAAAAGCATTGGGTTTTCTTCAAAATAAGTCATTTTTAAAAATGAAAATTTGTATAATATTTGTGGTTATATCGTTGGCTGCTTTTGCCGAGGCTTCGGGACGTGGCAGAAGTCATAGTGTGACTTGGGGAGCCAGGACCTTCAGGGACATGCATTTGCGAAGGGAGATTGTCACGGAAAAGTCCAAGTTTTTGAGAGTGGTTACGCGTGATTGGACTTTTAAGCAAGAGGTTTGGTTTTCTGCTTAAATTTAAAATTTATTTTTAATTAATTTCTATTTTTTTTAACTTTCTTACAAAGAAATACAAGCGTACCATCACCCAAATTGTAATCACGGACCAGGTTAGGGATGGTAATGGTGGCTATGCCTATTTAACGTCTGGCGGACCCCAAAGCTCTTATGCCAAAATCCATTTTAAGAGTCAACGCAACCAGGGTTTCAGCTTCATTGTTGACATTTATGGAATTTAATACATATCTCCTGGCATTGTCCTGCTTTTAATTATAATTCCATTGGATACCTTGCCTCCTTACAGATAGTTTATTTATTTCATTGGAGAAAACACACCTATTTGCATACTGAATATATATATCCGCAAGCGTACTTATACTACGTACACACACTGTATACTCTGGTGCACAGTTTGTGTATTTTAAGGGGAATACCATTTACACAGGCCAAATGAACTGCAGCTAATTTGCAGTTGGCGTGTAATATTTATTTTAGGGCCACAGATTGATCGAAGCGTGCAAATTTATACATTTTGGTGGGTTTAACAATGGTGCGAATGGGGATTTTATGTTTAATGGTAGTTTTAATGATGAAAATGGAGCTTTTGAGCTATGGAACATAAGTGAAAAATTACTAAAAAGGGTTTAAAATGAGCGATTGGTAATGAAAACAAAGCTTTGCTACTGTACATATTGTAAAATTATTTTTAAAAGGAGAAAATATCCATAAATTGCTATTATAAATGGTGAAAACTGTTTTCTTTAGGGTAAAAATATCATTAAAAGCCTGGCTAAAATAGTATACAATTAAAAATAATTTAAAATAATTCCCTAGAATTCTATGCAAATATTTTTAATACCATTTACACATTGAAAAATATGTTAGAAATATTAATACAATTTTTATTCTTATAAAAACTACCTGCATTATTTAATTCAAATTTATTTTTGGCTTAAAACTTTCTCCGCCAAGAGCCAACTTTGAAGGTTATATGGCCCAAAAGTAAGTGTTGAGTTGTGTGGGAGGCAATATTCCCACCACCAGCAACTCGTAATTATCCGGGCCATTTCGACTAACGAGGCAAGTGCAATTTTCGGTTGGGCAAATGGGGAAAATATAGCCCGCAAAAGCCTGTGAAACCCTTGGCAGGCAGGCGTAGGCCCCGCTTTGCCTTTGCCATTTAGCCAAATGTCAGGCACTTAGCCTTAGCCAACAGGCAGAGTCCCTAACCCTGAAGGGAGACCACCTCCCCAAAAAGCCTCTAAAAACCACCTAAAAAGACACCCCCCAACCATAACCATCACCCCGTGCGAAAGTCAAACAAATCCAATCAATGTTACGCCGTCGACATATACAGATATATATCTACAGACTTATGTATGTACGTATGCCTGCATATATGCAAATTAGCTGGGGTTATAAAATGTAATGTATTGGATGCATACATACATACATATATGTATAAATATGTATCCCTTGGCTACGGCAAATCGTCCATTGATGCGTGAGGAGGGATATGGAAGTGTGCGGATACCATCAATCGCAAAGAATTAAAATTTTATTATGCCATATTCCCAAACGAGCGAAGAAAAAGGTTGCCAAGTTTTGGCTTTGTCGAATCTTTTATGGCTTGCCAATGTAAATGGTTTTTGTCTCACCAGAAACTTGAAACCCTAAACCCCAAGAACAAGGAATCAAGGCTATCGGTAAATGTGGGTTAACAGGTTCTAGGTTTTGTCTATCTCTAACTCTATATCTAGCTATCTAACTTCTTCTCTTTTCCTTTAAAAAGCTGCAACGAGTTGCAGTTGTGGCATTTCTGATTGACAGGCATTTTGCATACAAGTAAGCGTTTTGCCTTAATACGCAGCACCCTTAGGTGACCTCAAACGCCAGTCAATGCCAGAGCAGAGCAGCAACCCGGGTAACATACACCAGCATACCACCCACTGACCACCCACAGGTGAGGCAGGTGAGCTAGGTGAGCAGCTATGCCGGGAATGGAGGAGATATGTATGTACACTGGGGGGAATAATTTATGTTTGAAAGATAAGAAAAATCATGGGAAACTAGAAAGATTTATAGGAAAATGTTGTTCAAAAGTGGGATATTTAAATTATAAAGATTATTTAATTTTAAAATTAATTAACACATATAAATTTATTTTTTATTAAATTCCAAGGTAACCCATAAATTACACACTTTTGTTTTCTGTGCAAAACAAAACCGAGAGCCATACATTATGCAGGTTGTTTGTTATCGTTCGATAAAGTGTAAATTATGGGAAAGTTGCCAGGCAGCCAGGTCAGGTCCCTCAGGAATGTGACTATTTTCCCCATTTTCCTCTCCCTTTCATCCTTTTTACCTTTCACATGCACCTGAAACTGCTGGCCATATAATTTGTGATATCTTTAATGTGTGTCTTGTGTGCTCAGTGTTCAGTGGTCTTGAAGTTTGCATTGTTAATTGAACAAATTGCATTTGCATACTCGAATTTGTGTAATTTATGCTGCCATTTAATTGTTGGAATCAGTCTGAGTCTCGACGATTCGCTATGCTACTATGTCATAGGTGAAATCGTGTGGAAACATCTCAGGGACGTTGATCCAATCGAGGGTCTTATGCAGATTTCCGTTTGACTTTGCCGAAATCAAAGGCAAAGGCAAAGTGTTGACCTCACCAGCCATTTCCTGGGCAACAAAAGACGTGTCGTCGTGGCCTCCCTTTGCCTTTCTTGTCACTCGTTCATTTCACAGCCAATTTTGTGCATTTTTTCGTCCCTTTTGGAGCTGGTTTTCTTTTTTCCAACATCCTTGTTGCCATTTTAGTCCCCCTTTTGTCCTGCGTGAAAGGAGAGTGTCGAGTAAAGTGTGAAGGAAGCAGTAGCTGGCTAACGGATTTCTGGTCTCTGAGACTTTTGTTTTTCAATTGCCATTTGCCATATTTGCGGCAATTGTTTTCGTTTTCTCTAGCAGTAAATACAATTGCAGCAAGTGAATCTTGTAGAGGTATAGCACTGCAAGAAAATGGGAGCTATAAGCCAGCTATAAATGTTTAAGAAAATATAAATACTTAGAGGAAAGAAATAATTAAAGTTTTCTGTTTTGAAAAACTCCTTTAAAATCAGTTTAGAGTCTAAATAATATTAAATTTTAATTTAAAAAAATCTAAAAATAATATTTTATAATAATATTAAGTGAAAAATATTTAATAATATTATAAAAATACAACTTCTTCCCCTAAAATCCTTGAAAATAACTTTCATCTCCCAACTTGCATCCTCTCTCTGTAGTTACAGTGAATTTCCGGCTTAGGTTTTGGCTTGTGCAACAAGACTTTAGCTACGGTTATGGCGCCTCCGGATTGTCCTATCAGCTGGCAAGGATTCTCGTTGAACAATATACAAAAAAAAAAAAAAAATACAAAAACCGATCCTAAAGGAGCTTGTTATGTGTAGTCGCAGCTTGCACACACGCACATGGGTAGCTTTTCCTTCCAACGTCCTTTCTCCTGCATTTCTTATGCTTATCAAGCAAAGCTTTTCCAGACATGCTAACAAACGAGCTGCAAAAAGGAAAGAAATAGAGAAAATAGCGAGGAAAACCAAGGCAAAGAAAAGCATAAAAGGAAAGCGAAGGATTGTGGGGTTCAGTTGATTGCCCGGAGTTGTTTTTCCGGCGTGCAGTTTCCACACTGTCGATGCTTAAATGGCCCCGGCTTTTTGCCATCCAATCGCATCTTTGTGCGATGTCCTGGTGAACTTTCCAAGGATATTTCAAGGATTAACAAGGTAGAGAGAGGTTGCATCTTCTGTGGAGTAAATCAAATTGGGGAAAAGGTGTTGAGTTGTCACGAAAAAGAACTGAAAGATACAGCTTTTATCTTTGAGGCTGAACTTCTATGAATTTCTTTTTTGTTTTATCAAAAAATAAAGGTAGATATATATTTTTTTATTTTATTGACTGTTGTTTCACTGATTTTATTTAATTTTTATAAAAAGGTCTTTCTCGGCCAGTCGCTGTCTACTTAATGCCATTCGAATTCCACATTGTAAACTTACACAGACAGACCACAATTGTTTGCCTCATCCATATGAATAGGCTCTCGCATAAGTTCTTCTGTTCTTCTATAATGTTTACTTTCTGTACGGTATAAATTATTAGCCAATTCTTACGTTTTCATGAGTGCCGTAAGAAGGCTTACGTCGAATGCCTTTGTTGGTGTCTCAATGGGTGTCTGGAAAATTTCCAAAGAAAAAAAAACCTTGGAGCTTGGAAATCGAGAATCGGAATAGTACTCATTGATTGATAAATCCATTATCTAATTTGTTATTTTCGTTTTATTTATATGAGTAAGGAAACAACGGCTAATTTATAATATAAATATATAAGAGAAGGTGACTTTGTTCTGTAGAAATAAAATATACCATATACTTGACGAATTTTGGGCCCAAATGTATAAGAATTTCTTTATTATATAGACTTGGTTAAGTAATTATTACACACAGAATTTTGTTATATTTATATTTTAGAAGTAAATTTTTAGCAAGAAACATTCAAGCTTTCTGTGAAATATTTTTATAAAAAACCAAGCTTTCCAAGCCGCCAAAATCGAATCACAGATTTTATAGTTTTTATATTTTAAAAGTTCATTTTTATTAAAATATATAAAAGCTTTGTGTGAAATACTTTTATTAAAAGCCAAGCTTGGTTTATACGTTTTTACGGCCAAAATAGACTAAAAGGTTTTGTAGTTTTTGTTAATTTATTATTTTTAAGGCATTATAAAATTAATTATAATGTCCGAGTTTCTTCAAACAAGACATTTAATCAGGTTCAATGGTTTTAACATTTAAAAAACAATTTTAATTGATTTATTTATTTTTTTATATAATTCACTAAAATAAAGAATTTTACACTTTATTTATTACATTTTAATTCAATTTTTTTATGGATTTCTTATTACCAAAAACTACTTGTTATTTATGCATTTTATCATTACTTCAAATTGGCCTCTACAAAGTCACATTCAGACCCTTACGTCATGGCAATTTTTTTAGGTAATCTCATTGGATATGCGCATAAATACATATATATCCGAGGCTTTCGAGGAGCACTTGGTAAACTCTAGACCTATGATTGCTTCACCTCAGACTTTCGATTATTTAAAGAAGACTTGGACGTCTGCAAGTAGGTTTGGATATAGAACGTTCCAAACAGATATATAAAAATGACGGCCTGCAGCATGGTCACATAGAGGACGCCATGCGGGACGCCACAATTGGGCGAGAAGAATCGCACATATATCCCATAGGCAAGGAGCAGTGTGAACTGGATTAACTGCGTCAAGGTGATGTACTTTTTCCACCAGATGCTGCCCTTAACGGAGGGATACTGCGAGGAGAGGAAGTAGTAGAAGTACATGATCATGTGCACCATGGTATTGAGCAGGGCGAGGCTGTTGAGGTGGCCACCAGTGCCATAGGTTCGGGTTAAAGCAAAGCCAGCAAAGGCCACTAGGACATGGTGATAGATATGCAGGAAGGTGACTTGCTTATAGCTCTTTCGCAGGATAAAGAACACGGTGTCCATTAGATCGAGCACCTTGTTCAGGAGATAGGCGGCATGGAAGATCCGTTCCACCTGCTTGTGCTCATGATCCTGCGGAAAGGTCTCCAGGCAGCGCAGGTTACAGATCTGCTTGATGAACATGTAGTAAAAGATCTACGATATATACCAGTTATTATTTAAACTCAATCAACAACTCAGCTTAGACTCACTCCTCCAAAGTAGAGACCATTGTAGGCCACCTGGAATAGGTTGTAGAACATCAAGACTCGCTTCAGGTCATAGGGCTTTCGGTTTTCCATGAAGATCTTGCCCAGTTTAAGCACGAACAACAGATATACAGCCAATATGGTGAGAATGGGCCATGGTGAATCAGCCAGCACTATGGGATTGGGATCTAAAAAGTGGTTACAGTCTCTAAATATATATATATATTCTACAATTTATTATACGTGGCAGGAAACGCACCCGCCTGTGGAAGAACCCTTTGGAAAAACGCTTGCATTGCTCGGCTTGTTGCTTGTGGTCTGAGGAGCGCTTTGTGACTGTTTTTAAACTCACTTAAACGCACTCTAGCCAGCTTTATTCACCTAATTAAATCAAATAATGTATTATTCAAATTTTTGAACTACTGTCCCACATTTCTTAGCCGAGAGAAAACTACACAAATTCACAGAGCGAAAGAGAAACACTTGCTTTCGATTTCAATTTCAACTCAAATTTTATTGCTCAATTCGATTTGCTCTTGGCTCTGCAATAGGTTTGATAGTAAAAGTTCCCAAACATCACTATCATGGAAATGGCGACAATAAGCTCAACAAAGTGCATGAACCCGGGCACTGAGCATTTTTTATTCAGCAACCAGGTCACCGCTGCGTGGCTAAAAAGGATAATGAACTGAACGATCTGCATCGTGGTAATGGATTTCTTAAGCCAGAGCTTGTCCCTGACACCCGGATACAGGGCAGCTGCGTAGTAGTATCCATACATGACCACATGCACCAAGGAGTTGATGTAGCCCATCAGAAGATACGGCCCGCTGCTTCCATAAAAATAGTATGTTATTGGCACACCCAAAACCATCAAGGCGTGATGATAAACATGAAGCACTGTGATCTGCTTGTAGCTCTTTCGCAGAACAAAGAATAGGGTGTCACAAAGGTCAAGCACCTTGTTTAAGAAGTAGATGTAGACCACCAGGCGATCCTCATTCTTTCCTGGATGATCCAAAGGCATCGCCTCCAAGCATCGCACGTCATAGACTCTTTTCACGAATAAATAGTAGCAGCCCTAAATAAGGGTAAATATAAAGCCCATCTATATATTTTATATAAATGGTAAACTTACCAATCCAAACATTATCCCATTTATTACGATCTGAAAGATGTTGTATTTCAGCATGGCACTTGTCACATTCAAGGGCTTGCGGCACTCCATAAAATCAGGACCAATTTTAAAAATCAACAGCAAATAGATCAGGACAATGATTATTGCTGCTAAGGGAGAACTAAATAGGGGTATATACACGGGATCTGTACAGAATATAAAACAAAATTAATTACTAAAGCTTTCTACTTGGCACTTAGTCTATAGTTTACCTTTCGGAGCTTCCCGAAATGCCTCCACTAAAGTCGAGTACATGGTGACGGAACCGTGTAAATATACTGCGAAAAATGTAAGGCCTACACTTCCTTATATAGAAAACCATGTATTCCTATTAGAAGTATATGCAAGTTCCACTATTTTGCCAATTAGCTATGCTACATTATGATTCCTGGGCCTGAGGCCTATAAATTTTAATTTCCAATTCAAATTTTAGCTTGATTTACACTTAAGATATGCAGACAAGCTTTGGAATCGCCAAGTGAATCTATAATGTATAGGCGCGCCATAGGTCATATTATGTGTTATAAAGGCCAAGTGGATTTTATTTTATGTTAACAAGTGTTTGTACTGAAAAACAAATGAGTTGTGTGTTCAAATCAATTTGTATGCCTTTGCTGGGTATTCTAATTTTAGTCAGAAGAGTGAAGGAGTTATTTCTGACCCCATTAATTGTATATATTTTAATTTTGTGTGATTTATTCAAGATTTTACACATATTACAATGAAATTAGTAGAGTCTATTAGCCTATTTAATGTCAAATTTTATATGGACCAAGTGTTTACAATGCTCATTTATTTGATACAGCCTTGACACTCCCAAAGTTAATTATTTTGTTTATTTTGTTTACTTTTCAGTGGATTGAAAGTCGATTTTGGAAAACAATAGCACAGCCATGGCAGCAGCTGCAGCAGCAGGAGCAACATTAACAAAAGCCAAGCTCAAGGAGCCGAAGAGCAACAAGAAATCTAATTACCGACCAACAATAAGGTCAAATCCTGTTCATGATGATGATGATGATGATGTTACAGCACTTCCGCTGTATTTGCCCAGGCGGAAATGAGGCGCAATATGTCCTTCAGTCAACAAAGAACGGCGAAACTAGCTGAAATACTCACCTGAAATACCGGAGGTACCAACAAAATAGCTGAAAATTCCTTTTATTCCCGGGAATTTAATTAAAGCTTAAAACAGAAAAAACAAGAAGGGGTTTCAGGCAACAAAAGGGCAGTGCCCGACGGCACCGAGGTGGCCCATAAATCCACCATCCATGCAGCTGCAGCTGCTGGCCCACGTCCATTGGCCAATTAGCTGCTGCAACGGCCAACAGCAATCGTTTGGGCCCCATTGAGCAACGCTCCTACTCCGCCTCACTGATGACTGCCGCCAAAAGACGTGCGGGTAGCAGCGGCAGTGGCAGCAGCAGCAGTAGCCATGGCAATGTGCAACAGCAACAGCAACACCAGTCCCTGCAGCAGCAGCACCACCACCACCAGGAGTATCAGCAATTGCTGCAGCATCCGCATCATCACTACCACCAGCACTACAGCAGCAATGGGAGCACCAGCCACTCGAGCAACATCATCATCGGTGGCCACACCAATGCTACCCACAGCAGCAGCAGCAGTAGCAACGCCACAAGCAACAGCAACAGCAATCCCCAGCAATACCACCAGAGACAGCAGCCACATCAGGCGACACTGCGCGATTGCTCTGTCAAATTGCCGCTGGATATCCTGTGAGTATAGGCCCACAAATCATTCAGGGCCGGCCAAGGGGTCCCTTTAGCACACGTAGCCGATAAGGAGGCCAGCAGGGCAGGTCAGGTTGTAGAGGTAGAAGAGGATAGACCTCAAGAATACCCTTTAAGAGAAGGGTTTAATTAAAAGATAAATAAAAGGGTACTCAAACTTCTTAATGTAATTTAAACAGGATAATCTAGAGGAAATTATATTTATAAGGATATATACTTTCGAAAATCTTTTTAAAGTCCCCCTAAAAACAATATACCCCTCTTCCCACACCCTCATCAAGCCCCAAAAAAAGGTCAAGCCATAGCTGTTCATCTCCTGTATCTCCTGGGAATCCCAGGCAATCCTGTGAATCCTGCCAGCAGATAGCCAGCACGTCTGGTTGGTTTAATAAAATTTACATTTTAACAACGCAAATGAAAATTGCATTAACTTTAACGGGACAACATTTGCTCGATTCGATTTTCTACGCTGCTGCTGCTGCTGCACAGAAAAGCTGAGGGGAGGAATCAGAAAATTATAAATATTTATCCAGGATAGAGAAAAAGGAGGATAACGAAAGCGCCCGGCGACAGGGACAAATGAAGCGTTTCAAATGCTTAGCGTTGGCAAAAGAAACTTATTCCAGTTTTGTCAGGATTAGAGAGCCTGAGCCTGTCTTTAAAGCTTTGCGCTCGACGGGGATTTTGGCTTAAAGGAGCTGCCTGCCAGCCAGTCAGGCAGTCAGGCAACCCAGAAAGTGTGTGACATTTGTAGGGCAGGAGGCAGGAGGTATTTCCAGGAGGTGGCTCCTAAGGGTGGCACTGCGTTTATGCAGATCGCAGTCAAGTGGCGGTCCGCCTTGTGGGGCACACGAAATGAGGCCAGTCGCAGCCCAGGCAAAGGCACTGAGAAAATAGGGTTTCTTTAATTTAAAGAGAATTTTAAAAGATTTTTTTAAACAAATTTTAAGGGTTTTAAAGGTCTTTGGAAATGAAGTCTCTGTTAATTTACATTTCCCTAAAAATTTTAAATATATTTTGAAAAATTCCTAAATTTTCCTCTACATTTTCTTCTCAGTGTTGTTACTGCAGCTGCGGGCTAAAAAACGGGCTAAGAAAAAATAAAAAGAAACAACGCTGGGAATATAAAAAGAACTTAAAGCGTGTCGACAACTGGTGGAAAGGTGGTGGCTAGGTGGGTAGGTGGGTTAGTGGAAAGTGGGCAAACGAAGGGCAGGAAGTTGGTAGAATCTTGGTTTGAGGTTGCACCGGGCACAGCCACAAACGCCGCCGACGAGTGAAGTGCCTCGACGCGACTCCTTGCGGGCCTCCAGACCGGGGCCAGTGTGTCGTCGTTACTTTTAACGAGGTGTCGCATGCGAACATAGCTCGTCCAAGTGGGTTTCGGGATGGGAAATTGAGGCGGGGTAAATTCAGGATGGGAAATTTAGCGGTGAAAAGCCACCAGTTGCCGTGTTCTACCAGCTCCTGGCATGTTTCCCTCTACTCCATGTATATGAAAATGCACTTAGTCGCAGCAGCAGCAGCAGCTGCAGCAGCTCCTTCTGTCACCTAGCTCTCTCTCCCTCTCTGCTCCTGCCTCCTCCTCCTCCCTCTCCTGTGGCATGCTGCAAATGAAGTCATCCATTAGGCCACGTTACGTATACGCCTAGTGTGCGCTGCGGAGCTGCAATGTGGTGCTCATAATAATGCTGCCAGTGTTTGTTGCGGTCTAAGCGGAAACGTTTATAATGGAATTCGCTTAAGAGCCGTCGGACGGAGGATCAGGTGGCTTTGCCAGGAAAGGTAAAGTGTCGTCTTGCTAATTTCGCTGCCTTGGCTAAGGGGGGTGTAGCAGACCAACGTTAATTACTCAGCACAGTTGGAATGGCAATCTAATTAGCCGAAACGGAAGCAGGAGCTTGCTAGGAGGAACACCAAACTCAAACCCAAACCAAAAACCTCTAACTAATCGATATATTTTCTTTCTTTTCCATTTTTCTCTCGTCTTAATTAGATGGCTACCGAAATCGGCCATGCGACCGGCCGGTCCTGATGCCTCGCCCACCGATTGCATCCTGGTGGTGGGCGTGTCCCGTCCCAAATTGGCCGTTGTCTTCCTTACGGTCATGTTGATATCGCTGTTCCTCACCTTCCATGTTCTGTACGATAGTGCCGTGTATAATATCCAGGCTGCCCAGGCCGTCCACGAGCGGCATCGCCTCTCATTGGCTGCCTCAGCATCGGCCTCGGCTTTGGGCGGCAGCGGCAGCAGCTCCTCCTCCTCGTACTCCTCCTCATCATCGGGTTACTCTAGCTCCTCGGGATCCTACTCCTCCTCCTCCTCCAGTGCGGGAGGGAACTCCAATCATCTGCCGGTATTTGTGAAGCCAGTGCCCAGTTCCAATCAGCTAAGCCATCCCATGGTCTTTCCATCGAGTCGTGTGCACTTTCCCAAAACCAGTCGCCGGCTGCCACAGGTAAGTGGGGGAATAAACAGGGAAACACTTGGGGAAAATAAGTGAAAAATTTGAATATTAAAGGAAATAAATTATAAAATTATTTCTTTTCCTATTCTTTTAAAATTTTTCAAATTTTATTTCCATTTCCCAAAGTATTTAATATATTTTCAAGTGTATATTTCTACCATCCACACTCTCTACCTTTACTAATTGCTGCAATTTGCATGTTCATATGTTCATTTGGCTTGATTTCCGGCCGGACACAGGCCCTCATCATTGGGGTGCGAAAATGTGGAACTCGAGCCCTGCTGGAGATGCTCTACCTGCACCCGAGAATCCAAAAGGCAGGCGGCGAGGTGCACTTCTTCGACCGGGATGAGAACTACCTGAAGGGTCTGGAATGGTATCGCAAGAAGATGCCGCACTCCTTCCGCGGCCAAATAACCATCGAGAAGAGTCCCAGCTACTTTGTTTCACCAGAGGTGAGTCCTGTCTTTGTGTTTTTCTTTTATTTCTTATTTTTCGGAATCGGTCTTGGACTCGGTTTCGGGTTCGGATTCCTTTTTCCGGCCTGCGCTTTGATCTCTAATTGGCAATTAGGATTGGCTTTCTCTCGGCCTGACCGTAATTATTAATTAGCTGTCTGCCCGGCATCGACTGTCGACTGCTGACTGGTGGCCCTGGTTCTGGCTGTGGTCCTCGTCTCTGTACCCTCGTCCTTGTCCTGCTGGCCCATCTATCAAATTAAACCGAAACGCTGGCCATGTCCCAGCCAATTTCCGTGTCCATGTCGGAGCCATGGCGGAAATGTTTGCAAATTCATTTGCCAAACGGCAACGTCTAACACCCAACTGAGAATGGGCTTTTCGGGCCAAGTTTTATTTTTACCTTGTAACTGTGAGGAGAGAGAAAGGGTATATCATACTGTAAACTATGTTATGTTTAGTGAAAATTGGGATAAACGAGTCGATATTATACAAATAATATATAAAATATTTATTAATAATCATTAATCGAATTCTTATTAATATCGATTATTTTTTATCCATGACATAAACATACGATGTAACGTTTGTACTTGTAAATTTTATTGCTTTAAAAATGTCAAATTTGATAAATATCGAAAAATAGAGAAATATTTATCGATAATCTATCTAAATAATAAGTTTTATGTATCGATTATTCTTTACATACAATTAGATACCGACAAAAACACACATTTAAATCAATATTAAATAGTTTAATATGGCAAATGAAGTTGTTTGTTTATAAATTTTAGATTTTTGTCTATATTCTCCTCTCTAATAAATAATATATATATCTATCGATAAATTTAAAGAGGGAGTAACTTAAATTGCAATCCATTTAGTAGATTTCAAAGCGGTAAACATTTTTAATTTAATTTTATTTTCATTTTTATTTAATTTCCCAATACCAGGTATCTCATAGTCTCAACACTCTTCTCCAAATCCCCATTTTTAGTTTATTGTTTCTTTTCCTGTTGCAGTTTTTGTTTTTGTTGCTGGCCGCAGAGTGTCACAAAATTGGGTTTTTCGGCCTGATGCAATTTCGCTGCGAGCCGGAAGTTGCATGTGTCACAGGTAGAAAAGTGGGAGTGGAAAACCTGGTTAGCATCTCTACTCCTCCCGACAGGGCCATATTTCATGCAGTTTCATTTCAATTTTAACTGCCTTGTTTTCGGCACTTGATGCACATAGCGTTTCAATTTGTCGAGAAGCTTGAGGGAGATTGAATAGAGGACGAGGAGGAGATCCCCCCTGAAGCTAACAAGACTTTGACGTAGATAAATCTTCATTAGTGACTTTATTAATATTTATTGAGGCAGCAGAGAGAGGGAGAGAGGTAGAGATGCAGCAGCTAATGCTGCACCTCATTACCTAGTCCCCCATATTCCGCGTATAAATAATGCAACTCCCCATGGCGTACTTTGGCCTAAACCCGGGTTTCCCCCTCGATTCCCCAGTCTCCACAGATTCCCTGATATGACATTTTCCGCGCACAGAAGAGACTCTCTCTGTGCCTTTCTCTCCGGTTACCAAATGCATTTTGGCCGCATTAAAGATTCAGCGAAATGCATATTCCCGGGGGCCAAACTCAAACTGAAAATGGTTCATCAACGTGAATAATTCCGAAACGCCTGAGTACTCACGGGGCACATAAAACAAAAAATTATATATATATATATAATATATATCTACTTAGTGGAGGGAAAAAACTTTTTTGAACTTGTTGCACGGCCTTATTGAAATTGATTAAGTTTATTTACCCGGCTCGTTTCGTCCATTTTGCAAGGCTATTTATACAACGTGGCGAATTCAAGGACCCCGGCGGAGGCTCCTCCGGTTCCAGTGTGCCAGCCTCCCGTCCATCTCCTTTTGCCTCCCCTTTCTGCCAACATTGTGCGGCAATATTTTCCGGCTTAATTAAATTGTTCACAGCACACTTGCTGCGGAAGTGCAGCAGCAGGGGGGCCCAAGATGATGGGGCGTGGCAGCAAATTAAAAGGCTGGCATCTCGTTCCTCCTCTATCTCCTTTTCCCTTAAACAGTACTCTCCTGGCTTTGCAATTATTATCGATTGTTGGGGGTTTCAGCATAAATTCATTAATTGGAAAGGCACCCGAGACCAGCAGTTGATACTGAAAAGCCAGGAAAACTTAAAAAAAATATTTGTATAAAAGAGTGGAAAATAGTACCTTTAAATATAGATCTTTTTCGAGTAAAAATTGTATTTAATTTCAGAAAAAAAAGTATGGCTAGATAGATAATATTTTATAAATTTCTTTTTACCAGAAAACCATTGACTAAAAATGCTATTAAATTTTTTGAAATAATGATGCTTCTACCCTTTTTTCCTGGAAGAGAAAACACTACAGTTTTACATCAAACAATTCCAAGGAAAACTACACAAAATTGCCATTAAAATCAAAATTGCAAAAATGTTTTAGCAAATAAAGGAACTAGAACCTTGCACACATGTTTCCATAATATAACGAAAAATTCCTTTTAATTTCATGAAATAATAAAGCTCATTTTTTCAAAAAATCTGCCAAAAATATGTAATTTAATCAACTTTAAAAAATATCAGAAAAATAATAGATAGAAAATGTACAGCTAATTCCCTGAAAAACTTGCTAATTGTATATCATTTTTCTAGAATTCTTTACCAACAAAAATGCAAGTATAAATTCTGTTTAATTTCCTAGAATAAAATTCGAAGCTCTGCTCAAAATTTTAATAGAGAAAACGTTTGGCTTTTTATTAGCATTTTGTTTTTGCGTTATTCACAACGAAATGGCAAATGTAATTACATCAGTTTTCATTTACTCTTTGGGCCCAAATGCAAATTGGGCAATTGTTGGAGTTTTCAGCGTTAACGCAGAGAGTTATTTTAGCTATTTGCATATAATCATGTTGTAAAAACTATTAACTTTTTGAGGGAGAGACTAAAGTTTAACAAAGTTAACATGAACATATTTTTGAAGTGCTTAATTATGAAAGTGGAAATGTAATTAAATGTTAGTTACAGGCTAAAATTTAGCTTTAAAGGGGTTTAGGTTTATGGTTTAATTTATATAATAAACTCGATAAATTTAATGGACAATTCAGCAAATACTCAAAGGAAATTAACCGTTCTTTAACTCTTAAAATATAATTATATTAAAATCATAAATATCCTTTAATTTCAGGTTCCAGAACGAGTGCGTGCCATGAACGCCAGCATCAAGCTACTGCTGATTGTCCGTGAGCCTGTCACCCGGGCCATTTCAGACTATACGCAGCTGCGTAGCCATGCGGCCACCGCCATCCTGCCCCTGGCCGAGAAGGATCCCCCGCTACCGAATCAGAGTCCAAGCACCCGGGAGAGTTCCGGCGGTGGAGCCACAGTCACCGCCACCTCTAGTGGCGCAGCTGCCAAGATGTCGTCCTCCTCGCAATCGCTGCTATATGCCAAACTGCAGTCGGCCCGGGGCTATGACAATGCTCTGGTGGGTGGCAGTGGGGCTGGTGCCAAGGAGACCAAAGCCAGGACATCATCAGCCTCGGTCAGAAGGGGTGCTAGTAGTAGTGGTGGTAATGGTGGAGCGGCAATGACCACGACAACTCTGTCGCCAATGGCAAGCGCCGCCCAAATGGCAGCCAAGTAAGTGAAGTGAACTGAACCCTCCGCTTTGCGTCCTGCTTGACATGCAAATGAAATGCAAACTGCAAATGAAAGTTGCCCAAAATGCGACTCTTGTCCTTGGCTTCCTGCGCTCTGCCTTCCTTCCGTCCTGAATCTCCCTCTTTCTCCCTTTTCCTCTCTCTCTCTCTCTGTCTCTGACGGCGAAACTTTCTTGTTTCACTTGTTGACAGAGGGCGGGAAAAAGCAGGAGCTGGACAGAGCCAAGGACTCTGTTTAACATGGTTCCAAGGAGCAGCGGTAGTGGCTCGCTGCTCATTTGCAGCTGTTGCCAATTCAATTTGCCATGGCCAAGATTTAAAGCCAACCAACCCATTCACACCCCGCCCACCTCCATCTTTTTGTAGGTCCTTCGAGGAGCTGGCCATATTTCCCAACGGCACTGTTAACGAGGCTTATCGACCGCTCAGCATCTCCATGTACCATGTCCACCTGCATCGCTGGCTGGAGGTCTTTCCGCGAGAGCAACTTCTGGTGGTCAATGGTGACCGGCTCATCGAGGATCCGGTTTCCCAGCTAAAACGCATTGAGGCTTTTTTGGGTGAGTTTTGGGGGGAAGGAGGAGAGATTGTGGAAGGGAATAATTCTATATTCTATATAAACTTTAAAGAAATGTGTTTTTAATTGTAATTGTAAGTAAAGAAAATATTCTTTATGTTCTCTTTTTTTATCATATAATTTTGTAAGCTTATTATTTAATAATAAATATATATATTAATATTAATAAATTATTCATTTATTATTTATTTTCCCAGGCATTGAACACCGCGTGAAAAGCGAACACTTTTACTTCAATGAAACCAAAGGCTTCTACTGCCTGCGCTATGACAATGGCGATCGCTGCCTCCGCGAGACCAAAGGACGTAAGCATCCACATGTGGATCCCGTGGTGGTCTCCAGATTACGCAGATTCTTTGCCGAATACAATCAGCGGTTCTATGAGCTGGTGGGCGAGGATCTGGGCTGGCCAGAGGAATAAAAACGAGGACAAGGACCAGGACCAGGACCAAGACCAGGACAAGAAATCGAACTCGAAAGCTTGGCCCATAAATCTCTCGGTGGTCAATGGTCCGGCGATTTAATTACAAGGAGGCGGGATTACAGAAGGCAGGAAAAGCATGTGGAAAAGCGTGGAAAAATAAAGGCAACTTTTACCGTTTGCATACGCAGCAAGAGAGGGGGGGGAGAGGCGTAAAGGAGGTGGGCCATATTTCTGCCTGGTTGGTTGCAACTCGCACAGCTCCTCCTCTGACAGTTCAATTATGCGCGCGTATTGAAAAATTGCATTCCAATTTTCGCAACGCCACGGCAGGAACGCCCTTAACACAGGGAAAGACGAGAAAATAAAGTAAATAAAATCAGTAAAAAAAAAGGAGTAAAAAAGGAGTAAAAAAAGGTGCAAAAAAGTAGCAGAAAAGGGAGTAAAAGAAGAAATAAAAAAGGAGTGAAAAAGGATTATAAAAGGAGTAAAAAAAATCAGCAAAAATGAAGTAAAAAAAATATATAGTTAAATAAAATTGCCCACGCATTTTCGTTGTGCATCAGGCCATGGAAATGTGTGTCCTGCATTCACACATTTAAACATAAATATCGCAAAAGCAATATCTTACCCCCCTTTTTCTACATATATACGAGTGTGTGCTGGTGTGTGTGCCTCCCTCCAAATGTCTGTGTGCGTGTGTGGGGAATAAAAATTAATTAAGCAACTAAATGTGATTTTATAGTCAGTAAGCATAGGACAAATTGAAAATGATTGAGGGGAGGGAGGAAGGGGGATATACAACATATATAGTGGATGAAGTGCACCCACTTCGAGGCAATTAAAAATGTATTTAGACTAACAGTCGGCTGAATTAAATGTGTGCATATCATCAACGTCAACAGAGAGAATCGGTGGAAACTAAGCATATCAACTTATACTATATATACCATAAATATATATATATATACATTAAATATACACTATGATTGAACTACAGCGTTGCATATCGGAGTAAACCAACCATGAAATCGAAACATATCAGCTGCAAATGTCGGCAAATAATATATATATCTATATATACAATCTATATTATATAGTGTGTAATGGTAAGCATCAAATTCGTTGTAAATGACTTTGATTTTGACCTAGTTTGTAGGGCGCAATGTGTCACGGAAACGTCATAGACAAACTCTAGTTGAATATACTTATATATATATAGCTGCACTGCCCCCCCAAAAAAAAGTATAGATAATTATTATATACTATATACATTATAGTGTGCACTACCCCACTTTTAGGCCATAAGTTCGATCAAGGATAGATTTTTTTAATGCATTTTTAAGCCAGATTATTTTATATATATATTCCTAAAAAAAAGTAAGAGATAAATACGAGTATATTATACACACTTATCTAAAGTTTAAACATTTCGCAAGCATATCAAACTCAAAAAAACCTAAAACTCAAACTCAGTGTGAAGAACTCAACTTAGGCTAACGCTCCCCGAGACGACGATCCATCCAATTTCGGTTTATACACTATATAGAGATATATATACATACCTCCCACACTTTGGTTCTTAGGGATCTTCAGCACAGAACTTGACTAGCTTCAAATACTAAACCTAAAAGAAAATAGACTATGTGTAAAAATCCTTATTATAAATAAACATCCTAATGCTGATCTCTCTCAATGGAACCATTAAAGAAATGTAACTAACCAAAGCAATATATTAATTCAAAGCAAGACTGAAGGTCCTCCGCAGAATGTTTTTTATTCTCCCTTTTTTTCTTCTCTGTAGCTCTTTGATTTTTTATAAGTAAATCAATCAATCGATGCTTTGTGTTTGATTCCGAACCAAAATAAAGATATAGTAGCAAAGACAACGAACATTTCTAATTTGTTTATATTTTTATACAAAAGCGAAGCGTACATTAACCGTAAACCAACAAGGATATATATATTATAAAGCGAAATTATATATTAATATTAATATACATTCAAAGAGCAATTTGTAGTCACATTTTGTCCTCGAACTCGAACTCGAACTACGCCAATTGCATTAACAACAAAATACATATCAAAAGTTTAACTCAACTCTAGATCCTCCATTGATATTGATATATTGATATTATTGATGTATTGTCTACTTAAATTGAACGTGCAAAACTCAACAACTATAATGTACCTTAAAAATCAACTCTCTATATTTCTTTAACTCTAACTCTAACGATAACTCGAACTCTTGCAACTTATTCAAACTTTCAATGTACATACAAAACAAAAACCAAAATAAAAATAAAAAATAAGAAAATGTATTACAAAAACCTAAAAAAAAAAAATGAAATCAACAAAAAATCGATAAGAAATCGTATAGAAATTCAACAAATTGTAAGAAAAAACCAAGAAAAATCAACATTTTAAGCTATGGAAAATTTTACGCATGCAATAAAATAAATGTAATTCGAAAAACGGAACTAGAGGGGATTTTATTATGGGTTTTTATAAAACTAATAAAAAATTTAAAAAATTTAGAGGGGAGTAATAAAAAATTAAAAATTTAGAGGGTAGTTTATAAAAAACTATAAGGGAAGCAGAACTTTGTAAACCTTTTCAGTTTGCATTTTCAAATCAAAAATTTATCATAACTAAGCCAAAAAGTCATTAATTTAAATTTGGAAAGCAGTTTTATCTTAGTTTTTATTAGATAATTAAATCTGCTTAAAGAGTTAACAAATTTTTAAAATGAAATTTTTTTTTAATTTTTGTGAATTTTGATGATGTAACCCCTTATAAAATTTTCAAAAAATAGAAAAAAATTATTTTCTCCCAAACATGGCTAGATCGACTCGGCTGTTGATGCTGATCAAGAATATATATGCTTTATAGGGTCGAAAATGACTTTTTCATTTTTAATTTTTAAAACAAAGCTCTGGATACTGGGTATCTTATAGTTTAGCATACTTTACTTTGGCTTTCCGACTTGAATTTACTTTACCTGGAAATTTTACATTTATTTTACATATATTTCCTTTACAAGTAAAAAGCTTTTCAAAGGTTTAAAGTTAAACTAAAAAGTCAACTAAAAGTAAAGTACATAAAGGTTTGTTTGAGAAAAAATCAGAAGACTAAGATCCATTGAGGTCTCTATTTGTATTACCAAATTAAAAAGTATATAAAATTCAAAATATATAACAAAATCCATATATAAAATCCAAGTAAGTAAGCAATTTATAATTTATTTAACTACGTCTTATCTTTAGAATTTCCAGGTATAGAAAGCTATATCTAACCGCTTTTAAATAGAAAGAGCAAAAAGCTCAACCCCTCGTTTCAGTTGCTATTTACTATTTTCGCCAATCGGTTGTTTGTCGTTTAGCTTCATTTGATTTTGTTATTTTCTAATTACAAAGGCGTTTATACTATATATCTATAATATATACCAATTGAAACCTGTTAGATAGGTGATTACACACGTAACTAAGACTTGATGATGTGGAAAATTGTAAAAAAGAGTGCTCAATTGCCCAGTTCAGGCCATCAGCTGTGTTTTGTTAGGGTTTTCTCAGTGGGCGGAAAAGTTGGTCAGCAGGTGAGAAATGTAATGCAAAAAGAGCGAAAGCTTTTACGGAGAGCCAAGAATTGTTTACAAACAATGTAATATTTTATTTATCAGACTCAATTGGAAATTGCGGGAAATTTGAGTGCTCGCAGCGATGAAAAATGGACACAAGCGAAGACTTATGGGGAAATGCCAGGACCAAGCAGCCTTAAAATGATATCCTACTTTATGCCGGGGGGTAAGTAAGATAATAATATAAATTTATAATAATTTATAATATATATAAAAAACAAAACAAAGGTCAATAAGAATACTTTGTTTCATTAAGTACGTTTTACATTATTGTTTATGTCTTTTTAACCTTTTTTTATGACTTCTAAAATCAATAACAATTTTTATTTAAATTTATAATAAAGCCACCTTAAGATAGCTCCCTAATTTCCCATTTTAGGCGCCCTTCGCAACACAAACCTAATACAAATGAACCGCCGTATGAGGGAGATGTATGGAGATATATATCGTTTACCTGGTTTAATGGGCAAGCCCAATGTGGTCTTTACCTATAATCCCCAAGACTTTGAGACGACCTATCGCCACGAGGGAGTCTGGCCCATACGCATAGGCCTAGAGAGCTTTAGTTATTATCGCAAAGTAAAGAGACCCGATGTTTTTGGTGGCATAGGTGGCCTAGTTTCCGAGTGAGAATTTAAATATATAAACAAAATTTTATAATAATAAGAATATATTTTTCAGACAAGGTAAATCCTGGGCAGATATACGCAACAAGGTGAATCCAGTGCTCATGAAGGTGCAGAATGTCAGACAGAATCTTCCACAGCTGGATCAAATAGCCAAGGAATTTATAGACAAGTAAAAGACTACCTTGGCTAGATAAACATGTTAATATATTAATTTTCTTATAGGCTAGAAACCCTAAGAAATCCAGAAACCCATACCCTCCAGGCTAATTTCCACGAAGAGCTCAAGAACTGGGCCTTTGAATCCATTAGTTTTGTGGCTCTTAACACTCGCATGGGTCTACTGAGTGATCAGCCAGATCCCAATGCCGCTCGTTTGGCCAAGCACATGGGCGAATTCTTCAACTACAGCTTCAAGTACGATGTACAGCCCTCGATTTGGCCTTTTTACAAGACATCTGGCTTTAAGAAGTTTCTTGAAACCTATGACAATATCACGGAGATAACCACTAACTATATAGAGACCGCCATGCAGCGTTTTGAGATTAAAGATGATCGCAAAACCAAAAGCGTTCTAGAGCAGCTTTTGGAGCTCAACAAGCAGGTTGCTGTGGTGATGGTTATGGACATGCTAATGGCTGGCATTGATACTGTAAGGTTTTCCAAAATCCTGGAATTATTTAAACATTTTAATATATTTTTTAACTCTTCTTCTAGACCTCTTCGGCTTGCTTGACCATCCTCTATCACCTGGCTAATAATCCCTCCAAGCAAGACCAACTGCGTCGTGAGATACTACGTATCTTACCCGACCCAAAGGGATCTCTAACCGATGACAACACCAAAAACATGCCTTATTTGAGGGCCTGTATCAAGGAGGGCCTCCGCATCACCTCCATAACACCTGGTAACTTCCGTATAACCACCAAGGATTTGGTGCTCTCGGGCTATCAGGTACCCGCTGGCACAGGTGTGCTCATGGGCGTCCTGGAGCTCTCCAACAGCGATGAGTACTTTGCTCAGAGTGCCGACTTTTTGCCCGAACGCTGGCTAAAGACGGGTTCCACGCCTGATGGAGTCCAGGCCTGTCCGGAGGCCAGATCCCGAAATCCTTTTGTGTATTTACCCTTTGGTTTTGGTCCGCGCACCTGCATTGGCAAGAGAATAGCGGAACTGGAGATTGAAACTCTATTGGTGCGACTTCTGAGGAGCTACAAGGTCAGCTGGCTGCCTGAGACTCCAATGCAGTACGAGAGCACCATTATTTTGGCACCTTGCGGGGATATTAGATTTAAGCTAGAGCCTGTGGATTAATCAGTGTGATGTAAATGTGATATAACTAGTGTTGGGTAGGTTGATCATAGGGGAATAAATAAGGATTCATTACATAAACTAATAAATTAACAAGTAAATGAACAAGTGATTAAGTGAACAAGTGGTGAATTTGTTCACTCACTAAAAGATAAACAAATTCCCCTCTGAGCACCCTTCACCCTACACTAATCTCTATGTTCAAGTATAGACATCCTTTTCAGTTCAGAGTTTTACTCGCAATATTCACTAACAATATGGGAATGTAAAAGTGTAGAAAAAAGCTAGCTAAATGGAACAATAATCAGACATTATAGCTTTGGATATAGGAATACGTCCCAACTCTAACGCCGATTGCGTCCACGGAAGCGTTGGTGGGAATGATTGCGCTGCTGCTGCTGATGGTTCTGATGGTTTTGTTGCTTCTGATTTGGTGGATTTATAGATTTCTCGGTTTCAGGTTGGGCTGGTAGAACCTCTTCCTGGTTCTCTGGGATAGTGGATTTAGAAGCCGGTTCAGTGGGTTGGTCGTTCTGTGCCGATGTGGGCGTGGAGTGGGCTAAATATAAAAGTTATATTAGTATTTTAGAAGAAGGTAAAAGTAAGGGAAATAATTACTTGCCCAGGACGGATTTAAGGCTGGCATTCTTGAGCAGGGCCTGGGTTCCAAGGCTAGTATTGAAGCAAGTTGGTGAACCTGTTAAGTAATCAAGAGAATTATATTTTTAGATTTTAAAAAGATTATAAAGCTATATTAGAAACATAAAGGAAGCGACTAGGACACACCGATTGGACTATAGAAAATATCTTCGGAGGAGGTGGCAGGAGTTAGGGTGTCGACAGTGGGATAGTTGGATAGTTGCTGGACAGCCTCACGGATCTGCTCGGCTTGGGTATCTGGCTGGGCTTGGGAGTGGGATTGGAGTTGGAGGTGGTTTTCTGGAGACTCCACAGTGCTTCCTGTTTGGCTACTTCCGCTGGTGCTGCAACTATCCTCGTCATCTTCGGATTCTTCATTTTCGGTTGGGGTTTGTTGAGGAAGTTCGGTTGGGGTTTCGGGAAAGGATTCAGTTTCGGTTTGGGGATGAGGTTCAGATTCAGGTTCAGGTTGAGGTTCAGTCTGGGGATCAGTGCTGGCTGTTGTGTTTGAACACATGCACGGAGTAACAAAAACAGAGACAGAATACTAACGTTAAAATGTTAATGGGGACCACACGGAGCGATTCTCGCGTGAGTTACCTGCAGCAGCGGTGTTGTTGTATGTCCTGGTGTTCATCATGGCCGCACTGATGTGCCCCGGCGAGGACTTCTGTGGATCCTCCAGCTTCACCTTGAGTGTGGTGGCTCCTCCTGTCACAGAGAGAGATTCGTGGTCAGGGCAACACGGGCAACGGAGGGCGGGTTGGAAATGAATGATCTACGATAGCTTGTTTTATGTTGGTTTTGTATTGTATTTCATGACAACGTTTCAAGTTCAGTTTTCATCTACGCTTAAATCGATATTCGATACTTGGAGTTAACCTAGACTTAGGGGGCTATGTGCACGAGAGTCTTAATAATGTTCAAGTTCAATGTCCATTACCAACTTCTGCCGCCGGCTCCTGCACCGCGTCCTTGTCCCCATTGCTCGAGGATGTCGTTAGATGAGCCTTTCCCTTTGCCTTATCCTTATCCTGTTCCTTATCGTTTTCCTTCTCGGCAGCCTTATGAACTCCATTTTCCACGGGCTTTGGCTTGGCCTAAGGATAACTCAGTGTTAAAAAGGGGCTAAGTTTGAGATCCTTAGGTTAAAACCCACCTGGCTAAGCACCTCCTCCGCCTCACCGCTGCTTATCTCGTCGCTGGACTCCTGGCTGCTTTCGGAGCTGCTGCCGCTGGTATCCTCTTCCTCAGCATTGGGCACAAAATCAGAGTCATCCTCGGAGTTCTCATTGGCATACTTGGCCAGCATCTGATCGATGGTCAGGTTGTGATCGGCATCGGCATGGGAGTCCTCCTCTCGAGGGCGCTTCATGACTGCAGGAGTGGTTTGTGTGGTCTGTGGGTACTCAAGATCTTCAATTTTTTTCTCCTTTTTGAGAGTTTATAACTAGAAAACTCACCTGCTCTGTGTTGCGCACGGTAAAAAGCCGCCCGGAGTTGGCTCTTTGCACTCCAGGTCGGCACATGGCCTTGGACAGCCACTGGGTGAGTTTATGAGTCAATCCTCGGCCACTGGCACTGCTGCTGCCATAGGAAACCTCCTGCTGTTGCTGCCTCATCACCTTCAGTCCATGAACACGAATGGCCCTTAGCTTGCGACGCCTGGTCTGGATAAAGTAAACCATATCCGAGGGGGAGATGGGTCCATTGCCTATCATCAAGGCGCCCACCGACAACCAAATGCGAGTTAAACGCAGCAGGATGATGAGCATGAGGAAGGGACCCCAAGGCAAGGGACGGGCCAAGGGAACAGCTGATTTTTCTGCATAGAGAGAGGAAGAGGAAAATTATAGAATAAGGTCTAAAAGGCGGGGCAGAGGACCTCTCACCCTGCGGCAGACTCCACTTGGCCGTGTCTTCGATCATCACCAGCGCTCGGTCCGCACGCTCGATCACAAACTGTCCCATCCGCGTGCTCGCAAAGCGCTCCGCCTGCTCTCGAACCCGATCGTAGAAGCTGCGCGACTTCTGCAGTTCGCTGACTTCATCCTCATCGATATGGTCGCGCTGGCGCTGATCTTTGGCTCCCGTGCCCGTTCCCGTCGTTGTTCCCGTCTCTTGAGCCATCGTTTTTGCTGATTACAATAAATACAATTTTATTGGTTTTTAATTCGAAGGAGATAAAGGAGGAGAGAACTTCTTTTAAATGGGAATGAAGAGTGTAAGCCTTTGTCTAGGAGAACTGGGAGGAGTTGAGGAGATCCTAGAGGGATTTATTTATTATTTTAAGGTAATTTTTAAGTCTGTTTAAGTTGGTTTATTTATGTTAATAAAGGTTTATCTCTTAAGAAGTTTATTAATCTAGACATAAAATATTTTTAGTAATATTTTAAGGTCTCCGAATTTAGATGTTCACTATATATCATAGTTCTATGTAATATGCATCTCTATTTTTTCTATCTACCTTAAAATAATATATTTAAATAAGAGAGATTAATTTAAGGTAAATATTTTGTTAAATTAGATAAATATATGATTTTATTTTCGGTATGATTTTCCTAATGCCAGACATTTTTAAGAAGTATATTTCCTCTTCAAAAAGATGCCCCTTAAAATATTTTTAATATTCTTGGATAAATCAGAATATCATCTTTAATTCCGCTAAATCTTCATAAATATTCAAATTAATATCTTAAATATCTCCTCCTTTATTAACCATTATTTTAATACCAAAATCCTTATATATTTCTCATTATAATCCCCTTAATAGCGATTTAATTTGTCGTAAAAGTAATTCACAAGACTCGGGATTGCCGCGTGATTACCGCCTGAGCGCCAGGCTTGGGAACACTTATAAAGAAACCCAATTCCAAAACAAAATCCAAGATTAATAGAGAATAATAATACGGTAGGTAGGTAATACCGTATTAATAAACCTGACTCGGCGAGGTCGTCTGCCTGAGCAACCGAAAGTGGATCCGCTTATCGATGCCAATCGGCGACAGCCATTTCGCACTTCGTTTTTGGCTTTTTCAGATTTGAGGTCGTCTGGCAAAACTTATATGTATTAAACTTATTATATTAATATATATATATTAATATTTATACATATAGTTAATGCCTTCCGCCGGCTGGACCAGTGACTAACATTAACAACAAAACAAATTGAAGTATTATAAAATTAGACGTTCTGAACTTTGTACGATTCGGAACGGTGGAATAGTTCCATGCCGCCGCCGGCTATCGCCAAGATTGTGATGAATCTCCGTCTCGGAATCGTCGGCATGGTGAGGGTGAGGTTATTAGTTAGGTTATTTTAGAGATTGGCGAGATCTTTAGCTTATATTCCCGTATCAGGGATGATCCCAAATAAAGCCCCCCCTCCTCTTTCTACCGCTCTTTCTTGTCGTTTATATTTCCTTTCCCATAAATTAAATTGTATATTATTGTTGATAGCTTCCATTTCGATTCCATTCTTATTTCTTAAATACTATACTATATATAATATAATATAAAGTTACACAAGCACTGGCACTGGCACTCGCATTCGATTTATTTGATATTTATAGCCGCTTATTGCATCGCCCAGAAAATACGCCAATTCTCAATTAAATAACAAAAATAATAAAATTATCAAAAATTTGTTTGCGGGATCAAAGTGTATCTCCATAAAATGCAAACACAGAAGAGGGCCCAGCGTGTAGCCATCCATCCGTTTGTACCCAAAAACCATGATGGTCAGTGTAGCGAGAAATGGAAATGCAGAACTTATTGCGGCGAGTGAAAGAGGCAGGGAAAAGGAGAAGGAGAGCGGGTGAAGAGAAAGGCATGAGAGCAGGAGAGCAGCAGCAGAAGGAGGTGTAAAGTGCAAGGCCTGATGATAACGGTAGTTTCGCTTTCCTGCAATGGCGTTCAAGCACAAAGCGCAGACACCGACTAAAGCATGCCCACTTACCGGTCTTTTTTTTGTTCTCTGCTTGCTTTCCTTTTTACAGCTACTTTTTGTACAGCTTTTTTGTTTAAATATATTCGAAACCTTTGGAGCCCGCCGCCAGTCTCAATATTTTTATTTCGGATAAAAGTTAAAAAAGTGGAGAAAGAGTGTAGAAATCACTTTACTGCAAACACTTTTTCCTAAATCCGCTTCTAATTTTCTGGACCAACGATTGAGAATCCAAGCTTCCGCACCATTCCCGACTGACTGACCAACGGCTTTGGTTTTCAGAGTTCTCGAACCAGCGAGGAATCGGCCCGGCATCGGCACGGGCTTCGGCCAGGCGATCGTGTCAACTGTCAGAAGCTTCGGGCAAGCTTTCTCTTTTTTTAAGAAGACTCTCTTTCTGGAAGTTTTTGTTTTCTAAGTCTCTGCTTGGAGGGCATGTTGAAGAGATTTCAGATTATCCGTAGAATATTTACTACAAGGTTTGAATTAAGAAATACATAATTAATAAGTAATACATTTTGGGATTTTTTAGTCTAAAAAAAAAAAATTGTTATACCCTTTTTACCCTTTTTTGTTTCCCATAGGATCAGGGTATGGACTCGAAAATTGATCATAACTAAGCCAAAAATGCATTAATTTTAATTCGGAAAGCATTTATTGCATAGTTTTTAGTTAATAAACAAATCTGCATACCCAGTTAAAAAATTTTTTAAATTAAAATTTTCTTAAATTTTTGACCATTTTGATGATGTAACCCCTTATAAAATTTTAAAAATTAAAAAATTTTTTTTTTGTACATGTCTAAATTGATTCTCCTGTTGATGCTGATTAAGAATATATATGATTTATAGGGTCGGAAATGACTCCTTGAATGTTTTTTAAACTTTTTACTTAAATTATAATTGTAATGCCCCAGCAAGGGTATACAAATAGCGTTTAATTCCAAAAGTTTAATTAGAAAAATCCCTTTCTATGTAATTCATTTCACTTTCATTTCTATTATATTTCAATATTTATTTCAGAATTAAAATATCGAAATAAATACAACTAAAAACTCCCTACAAACAATTTCCACACCAAGGTTAATCCCCTTTACTCCTTTTTTTTTTGCTAGCCCATTTAAAGTGTCCTTCAAAAGCTCCGAAGCCTCTTTTTGAGATCTTACGCAAAGCCAAGGCCCGTTAATTAGGTTGCGCCAAAGAAAACTTTTACTTGGCCAAAAACAATAGCCGACAATTGGCTATAAATAAAAGATCAGCAAATTAATGCTTGTCTTTATGGGTTTTAAAGCCTGTGGAAGCCATGGGGCCAAATCACCAATGACAATCAATGTTTACCTGGCTTGTTTATCCCAGTTTCGAGGGCCCTTCGTCCCTTCGACCGAACCACACTCGACCGAATTCCACTCAATTTTTGAATAGAGCGAGCAGAAAAGCTCTGTCGGGGGAGCCCTGCCAGTGCGGAAAACGGAAAAGCTCTTGGCGAGCGTTCAGTTGCGCGAAAACTCTCCAAGGCAGCGGACACATCCACGGAGCCGGAGCGTTGTTCCATCTCGCTCACTCGAACGCCGCCGCGCGTTTTGCCCTGCGAAGTTCCGACACTCACACCTCCCGCCGCCATTCATCTCGCGTGTGTGTAGAGTGTGTGTGCCCCTCAAAAAAAAAAAAGAAATAGAAAATAATAATAAAGAAAAAATTAGGAAAAAGGGAAAAGGTTTAACCCTGTGCAGTGTATTGTGAAAATTATTTTGGCCAAATGCAAAAGCCAAGCAGCGAATAGGAAAATCACAGCAGCGGCGGCGGCAGCAGGAAAACTAGGAAACTCGTAAAAGCGCGGAGGATGTAGTCGCGAAATTTGAATGCACTTGTCTTGGTGACCTCACACACACTCACGCCACCCCCCCACACACCCCACACACGGCCACTTGGAGAGCCCGTCAGGATGTGTAAGTGTTGTTTTGGCTCCCACGATTCGCCATTGATAAGCCACGAGTAGAAAATTCCTACCTGTAACAGCTGCCTTCTGTCCTTTATTTTTAAATATATATATTTTCCAGCACGTAATCCGCTGTCCCTTATCCTTAAAGGGTCGTCCTGGCTCCACTCGCTTTGATGCTGCGGCTGAGCCGTGTTATTTTTTCTGAAGAGCCTGCTATTTTTATGCGGGCTGAGTGCGGGCTCTGGCTAAATTAGTTTGCGCATAAATTTTTGCCACAGTAAATTGGGGCGGAGGATTGAGCAATTTGTGAACGAAAACACACACCAAAATGGGCTTTTCAAAAATAAATGAGTTGTAATCTAAGCTAACTGGCAGATATGGCTATCATATCTAGAGAATGTATCTTAAAAACACCTGTTAAAATGTTGAAGGTGAAGGACAAGGGGGAACTTTATTTATTTTATCAAGTTTGGTTTTTAGTTTTGTTTATTTTTCTTTTATAAATTTGGTATTATTGATGCGGCAAGAAGATAACATTTTATTATTTATTTAAGAGCTGAATTAATTTTCTTATTGAAGCAGAAACTAACTAAGCAAAATAATGATTTGTGTCCTGTTATTTATATACCTTTTTTATTTATTTTGTATCATTACAGTTTATTACACCATTTGTTTATTTAAAAAATTCTGAAGTACATTAATTCAGTGTAATTATTACGTTTCTTAGCCAGAGAAATAAGATTACATTCTAATAGAAATCCATGGGAAATTGTATAAATTATATAGGTATTGTTGGTATACTTATAATATAATGTTAAACTTGTTTATATAATTTATTATTCATTTTATTTTTAGCTTCCAAGTTGTGTTTTATGTTTGTTTATTAGCTTAACGTTTGTAGTATTACTAACTTAATAAACGAATTATATTCATTAATAATTTTTATACATATTTATTTAATTTTCTTCGTGTTACCGGACCTTTATCTTTTTTTTTTTTTTGTATGTTTAGTTTATTAAATTCTATCTTAATTTATTAGGCAAATTTATTTAATTTAAATATCTAACAATATAATAAAAGAGAACACTTTGAACTATAATAAATAATTTTAAATATTACTATTCTTTAGGAAATTGCTTAAATAATTAATTTTGAATACCTAAAACTGTATTCAATAATTCTAAATAATACTACTCTATAGGAAATTGCCTAAAATATTTTATAAAACTATAAAATATATTTATAAATAATTTTATTAAACAGAAAATGGCTTAAAAAACTTAAAAATATTAATTAAAGCTGGCAAATTGAATTACTTTGCTTAGGTAGTTATATTTTTATGGCACATTTACCATTCCTTCCCCTTCTCTCCTTAAACAAACTCCTAGATCTCACCTCGCCTTGATTTTGGCGCCATGTCAGCAAGGGTTTAGGACCGATAACCGCTGGCTACGACCCCCTGGCGGCCATACCCACACACAGGTTAGCTTCGCGGATGCTCCGTTGGCTATTTTAGCGCGGCCATTGCTGCCGCTTATTGGCCCTGTTCGTCATGGCAGTTATGGCGTCTTTGCATGCCGCTGCGCTTCCGGCCAAGCACATACTTACACACTCTCTCATTCTCTCTGGCGTCTCGTTGAATAATAAAGCACGCAATTGGCAATATACATGGCCAAATTCGAAATGAATGGCCAACACATGGCCGTTCTATGCGGTTCTGTTCGGTTTTCTGTATTCTGTCTAGATGTCGCGTGCTATTTGCCTGATATAGTTTTTAATTATCGCCGCGGCGCTCATTTTCCGCTCTGTCTCTCCTCCGTTCAGCCCTCTCTGTCATTAAGTTTTTCCCTGTTTATGCGGCCATTTGACAAATCAACAACTCTTGGGGATGAAAAGCTGATACAAAGACGAGGAAAATTGTCGCCACAGTTGGTGGCGGCCTCGAGGTGTCTGGTCTGCCCTTTTCATCTTGGCTTTTCTCGCTTTTCCCGCTGTGTAGGGACCGAGAGAGTGCTCTGTGTTGTTCCTTGATTGAAACTGCAGCCGCCATCTGCAAATTGCCGAACATGAAATTGTACAATTGAACATAAATTGAATGTTGAAATTGGCTTAGACGCAGCTGGGGAAATGAAGTCAGAGTCTCAGCAGTTGGTGTTGGTTTTCAAAAGCATCGTTTTATTCTCATTTTTTTTGGCCAAGTTCTTCTCACATATCAAGGAGACAAGTGGCAGGAGACAAATGCCAGGGAGACAATTGGCAGGAGAAAAGAAAGCATTTCCCCCATGCAGTGACAAGTTTCCATCACTTTTGCAAGGCTTGTGTGTGTTTTAGACTGAAAGAAATGGTTGTCTTTTGTTGTTTAAAAATATTTAAAAAATGATTTAAGGTTTTAAAATAATTATTATAAATATAAAATAAAACTAGAGCATATATTTCTTAGCAAATAAATATTCTTTTGCTGAATTTATGGCATTTTAAGGTCCCAAAAAATAATTTTCATTAAATTTATAAATGATTTATCCCCTCTAGCATCTTATTTTTATCTAAAAAAAGGCATTATTTATTAAATTAAATAATTTATTTACAGTTTATTGTATTATATAATTATATATTAATGTTATCTCTATAAAATAATATAGCTTTATGTTAATATTTACCTTTAACCCCTCATTATTTAGATATAACCATTGACACATTAAATCACATAATATGTTTAACCTATCAAAGTGATAACAATCTTTATTACCGGCTCTATCAAAAGCTAATAGGGCTATATTCTGCTTACATATATCTATGTTTGGCTCAACTTTTTCCCTCTGTAAATCTCGCTACGCTTTTGTAGCTCTTGTTTTTCCTGGCAAATTGTAATTACTTGGCTCCGAAATGGCTGGCCCCACAAAGGTAACCCAGTTAATTAAAATGAAAGCTTCGGGCCAGCGCGTATTGCGGCTCCCTTATTGCCCCCCATTATCCTGCGGATTCCTTCCCTGGGGCGGACACACACACACCAACACTGTGACAATCTCACGCACGTCGCACACCGCACATCGTATGCTGCAGGTTGGTCATTGGTTAGTAGGTAGTAATCCCTGCTTTTAGAGCCTCTCAAATATAAGCCAGGCCATCAGGCAAGCTGCCATGATCCCCATTTAATTTCATCATTATCCTGGCAGTTAATTAAGCAGCTGTCCAGGCCAAATACCCAGGATCTGCTGCATTTATGAGCTGCCAAAATGAGATGTCCATCAGCCAAGAGCTCACGCGGCGTATGCGTAATATAAAAAAAACACACAGCTAAGCGAGCCACCCCCCCATGCAATCGTCATGCATTTCTAAGAGTTCAGGCTTCAAATAAGGACAAAATCCGCATAAATAAGCCATGCATAATTCAGGACTTTCAGCCGTAAAAAAACAACTTGAGGGGCGGCCCTGCGGTGACCAAGGATATATTGTATGTACACTCATAAAAATGTTTGCCTAAAATCGCCCTAGAAAAGCCGCTTTTCGCCCGTGTATTTAGAAATTCGCCATAGAAACGGTTCCAAAGGCGAGTCGCTCTAGATTTGAGAAAATTTGCCCTAAATTTGAGGAAAGAATCTTTCCTAAATCTAGGGCGATTTTTCTTAAATGAAGAAACATTGTCTTGTTTATAAGGTGATTTGTCCTAAATATGGGAAAAATTTTCCTCAAATTGAAGGTGAATTTTTTCTTACATTTAGAAAGATTTTTCTTGAATGTAGAAAAATTGAAGGTAAGTTGCAATTGTTTGTTGTTGCTGCTGCTGTATTTGTAAATAAGCAATAATATTATTTTCGTTGTAAAAAATATTGTTAATAAATAAGCAAAAATATTATTTTTGTTGTAAAAATGTTGTTAATAAATATTAATAATAATATTTTTTGTTGTTGTATTACAACAAAAACAATGTTATTATTGTTTATTAACAAAGGCGGCCAAATGCTAACACTTTTGGTGTTGCAAAAGAGACTTGCTCTTACTAAGTGTTGGCCGGCCACCGTCACCTCATGCCAGAGACGTTTGAACCAGTTGGGAATTGTATGTGCACGCGTGTGGAATTTGCCAAAAGAATTCGCCATAGTTTTACGAAAAGTTGACCAGCAAAACAAAGAAAATTCTCCCGTAATCTAAGAAAATTCGCCCGTAATTAAAGAAAGAAAATGAACGAAGCAAATCCGAAAATTTTGCCCTACATTTGAGGAAAATATGTAAATTAACCCTAAAAAGGTGTATTTATGGCGGCCTTTCTTAATTTTACGGTGCCCTGTCTTAAATTTATGAAAACCTTTTCTTAATTCCAGAAAAATTTTCTCAGTTTAAGGGCGATTTTTTTTTATGGCGATTTTTCTTAAATCTAGAAAAATATTTTTATGAGTGTAAAAGAGAAATTCCATGAATAATTCAGAGTCGCAAAACAAATTGAGGGAAAATCATTTATCCAAGAGCTGCAGCATTTGTCGATGGGGAAAAATGTAAATCATAAAAACTTGAAGAAGAATTTCCCTTTGAAAATTCAACCAACTCAAGGCATTTGTTCGAATCTGTGAAAGATACCAATAAAATGTGCTAATTATGAGGCATATCTGCGCCATATGGTCTCTATGGAAAGCCAGACGCTTGTCTGGCGTTAATATTCAAGAAACCAATAAAAGGCGCTCATTCTTGCGCTCGAGGCACCAGGTAAGGGCGGCTCCCACCTGGCAGTATTCTCTATCCAGAAACAAACCACACCAAACCAAGCCACGACAGGCGATTAAACTTTAGGCCTCTGATAAGCTCAGTTTCGGCTCGTTGCGTGCTCGGTAAACATGATAATCAGCGCCACAACAAACCATGGCACAGTGGGGCCACGCTAAGTGCAACGAACTAAAGGGGAAATACAGCGGAATTCTGCGTAGCCAATTTCGAATGAATGGGTTCAGAGCCATGACGTCATTCCCTACTACTATACATAGATATATAAATTTTTATGTATGAGGCCAATAAGCCAAAGGGCAGAAAAGGACTTAAAAAAGACGAAAACAAAGGGGGGTAATAAAAAGCAGGGGCAGAGGGCTTGTGTTGTAAAATAAACTTTTGATACACTGTTAGGAAATATAAGGCATAATCTAGAGATAAATAATTTTATTTTCAATATTAAGTAGAATGTGGAAGTGATTATTTTAATAAAAATAAACCTTAATACTTGTATAAAAATATTTGTATAAAATATTTGGAGATTTAAAATAAATAAAAGTGCTTCCTAAAAGTATGCTATAGAAACTAATTGTAAATTTTTTTATAATAAAAATACTGGTATAGGATTTATAGTGTAATTTGTTTAAGTTTATAGAGGTTTTTTAAATTTTAAATATAAAAATTAATAAAGAATTGCAAAATTTATTTTAAATCTTTTGAATAACAGTTTAAATGTTTTTATAATAAATTTATTATAAAATTTTTTATACCATAAATACTGGAATATGGTTTTTAGTGAAGTTTTCCTATGGTTATATATATTTTTTTAGGTGTTAAACAAATACTTATATTCATGAGCAATATTAAAGATAAGATATACATTTTTATACATATAAAAAATATATCTAATAAAATAAAAAAATTGTATAAATTTATATAAATTGTTTAATTAATTTGTACAATTAAAACAATTTTGCATTCTGAAAATCCTGGAAAATAATTTTCAAATAATCATTATATATGCAAACATGATCTTTAAATATTACAAAAATGTATAAAAATGTAAACACCAAAATTATAGTTATACAAATAACCAGATTTTTCTCTCTCTGCACTGTCATAAAAATAGAATCGCGCAAATGTCAGCAAAAAAGTCAACAGGTGAGCGCAGCAAAGGAGCAAAAGTGTAGTGAGGTGTGTGCCCAGCAGGTGAAAAACAGAGACAGAACCATTAGTGCCATATGACACTTGCTGACCCATGTCTAAATAATTGATGGCTGACCTCGAGCTTGATTTATTGACCAAAGCTGTGATACACGAGTCCGTCGGAGGTCCTTCTGTTGGCCATGTCAAATCCATAATTGATGCCCTGATGTAGCCTGCATATTGCCCCGATTACGCGAAGCCATTTCCGATATGGAAGCCAGCATGAAAAACAGAGACCCCAATAAAAACATTAATGACGCTGCATTTATGAACCTGAAAGGATATATGTATATATACGATTTCATTACTTGATGCATAAAACCACCTTAACCCCCAGTAAAACATTCTTTTTTTTACGCATATTGAAAGCACGTGCCAGCTGATGTGATCATTAAGGCAGCAGGGCATTGTTAATGGTATTAAACGAGCCTTGTCCACATGGCGTATGTGCGATAATTTGGGGAGAACAAAGGCGAGTTTTTGGGAAACAAAACGAAGTAAAAACTTGAGGAAAACTTATGAAAACTTGGCTAATTGCAAGTCTTAACCTTGGCTAAGTTTGGCAGTAAATTAATTTTATAACAACCAGCTGAGAGCAGGCTTTAATTTCAGGAAATTTAGCCTAAAAGTGTGCCACACTCTTAAAGCCATAGAAATAAACACTAGAGTCCCCACTTGATTCCTGTAAGCAAACCACAAACCCCACACAACAACCTATCTAGACATATGTGAGTTATTTGTGAACTAAGTGCTCTCCCGGGAATAATTTAATCCCGGAATTACTTGAGGTGTGATCCTGGTCACACCTCGCTTAGCTGCAGTGACTTGCATTAAATTAATTAAAATTATATGCAAAGCCATTGGAGGGTTGCACAAGAGTCAGGCGGAACTACTGGTATTACAGCACTAAATGTCCTTGCCATAAACCTCCAGAGGATGGTCTCTGTTTCTCTCTCTCTTTCTCTCTCTGAAACGACTGCCATTTCATTCATTAAAATAAAAGTAAACTGGACGACGACAAAAAGTCCGAGGCAAAGTAAAGCTCTTCTTTTATTTCTGAGGGTGCGTAAAGCTTTGGCAAAGCGGCTCACATTTACATTTGCATTTTATGACGCCATCGCCGGGATGCTTTTCCAATTTGCGCGGCATACAGCCCAGCTGCAGCCCTCAGCATCGCATGAGGAGGAGGGTATAAATAATGCAGGCCGCCCACAAAAACCCAACCAAGAGCACCCAGGAGCACCCACAGAACACCCCGAAAAAACCCCTCAAACTCAATGCCACAATCCATGTTACGTTAACAATAACAAATGCCAGAAAGGAGAGCAAATGTTACGGTTGTTGTTTTGGGTTGCGGGTGTTTTTCTTCGGGGGGGAGGGCTGTGGAGGGATGAAACCATAACAGCAGAGACAGCGAATCCATTGCCGAAGCAGTCTTCTAGGGGCACTGCCAGCGTGCAGGTCGCCAAGCTCTGAGCGCGGAATACAATTTTTGGTGTATAAAAAAAGAAAATAATAATTCTGCAAAACAAAACTCTTAACTACAAATCTTGTGCTAGTGCCAAAAAATCCTTCTAAACCTCCTCTATTTAAGTGTTTTGTAATCAATTATTTATTTCAATTGGCCATGTCATGCAACCGCTGCATTTCAAGACCTCCAAATCCTCAAAGAAAACCGCCAAGCAACCATACACATTTGCGCTGTGCCACAGGATTAATAAAATATTTCCAGCCACAGGTAAAGGCCAGGTCCAGGGTCCCTGAAGGATCAGATAAAGTGCAGGTTAAGAAGTGGAGAGAAAAAAGGAGCAAAAAAGCGAGAATATTCGAGCATTTATTATGTATATTGCCTGGTATAATCCATTTGGCTGTCACTTTCAAGAGATAAATGTGTGTGCGAAAAATGGAAAAACAGGAAAAACAATGTGCCAAAAAGTGCGGAAAATTAAGATTTGTGATAAAGAAAGGAAAAAGGGGAATTAAAGGAATAAATAAGCAAAAGTTAAAATGATTAAATAATATGGAAAAAGTATTTTAATTAAAGTTTGTTTGAAGAATATTTAAATAAATGCCACTTGAAGTTACTTTTTAATAGTAAAACAAATCCCTAGAATATATTTTGTAACTACAATTTATTTCAAGTGTTTTCTAAACTTAAAAAGCCTTCAAAACTTATAAATTTATAGTTCTGTTTGCTATGTTTCCTTCATAAAATTTAATAGAAATAAAGTGCCATAGATTAAAAGCTGTCTAATCTCTGCTTTAAACTAAGCCCAAGTGACATACTTTTTATGTATGCTAAATTGTGCTTACAAAGCTGTGGCATAACTCATAAAAAAATGTAAAAAAAACCACAACCAAGTACTTGAGCACTTAAAAGAACGCAGTAAATTATACAAAATTTAAAAGTACCATTTATCCAGACGTTTATAGGGAGCTGAGAGCATTTATTTTTCTCTACTTATTTTTTTGATGACCGCATCGACAAATGGCACGAATCATTCTACTTTCTTATGGCTCTGTGTAATTTTCATAATTAAGACAATCGCAGAAAAATAACAAAGTGATGTCATGGGTGGCAATTGGGTGGGTGGGAAAAGCGTTTAAAAATTTTAGAGTGGCCTAAATGTATACATTTTCCATGATTTATGGGGTTTATCAAGTGTCAAGTTCAACGCTTTGCTAAATGTTTCAAGTTTTTGATTTCATTTTGATTTATATAACTTTTAAGAGTTACAAATATATTAAAAATTAAAAGTTGGGATATTTTCCAGCTTAAAATAAATTTAAAAAATAATTTAAAGCTTTAAACTCTTAAATAATAAACTTAAAACCCTTTTTCCCAGCTCATTTCTGTCTTTAAATTTTTGTTTCTTTACTTTATCTCTTCAGAAAAGCAAATCCCTGCTGTTTCACCGATTTATTTTAGCCACTTTTCCGCATTTTCCCTTGATTTTCTTTCCTCCAAAAATACTTTTTATTTGGCTTATCAATTGGTGGCTACATTTTTTTGTTAAATCGATTCCATTGGCAGCGTGCGTGCCGTCTGAAATAACACTTGCCACCTTTTTCACCCCCCAACAGCACGCATCCACTACGTTGACCAGGTGGAGCAGGAGGAGGAGGCGGATCACCACCACCACCAGCTGCAGCACCATCAGCCCGGCAGCAGCTCCACCGTCAGTGGGAGCACTCCCCCTCTTCGGATTTCCCCCCACGGCTCACCCCAGCTGCAGCAGCAACAACGCCTGGGCAAACATCTCAGTAAATCCGCCTCGGAGTTGAATGGTCACGACTGCCATCACAGCGAATCGCCGCACATATCACCCAAGCGGGCCAAGAGTGCCGTGGCCCAGCACTTGTCCGGGGGCGGAGACCGAAGCGGAGGCGTGGCTGGTGGAGTGGGTGTCCTGCAGAAGACCCACGGCTTCTTTAATAATCTGCGACATCGCTGGAGTCGGGCCAAGAGCAAAGATCGATTGGGACGCAAGTCACCCAGTGATTTCCTCGAGGAGAGCACTGACTATGCAGCCGATTACAGTTCGGAGAGCAGTTCCGTGACGCAGAGTCCGCGACATCGAAGCACCACTATTGGTGGTTCACCGCTGGCCAGGGAATTCCGGGCCACGGCCAAGATGGCACAGGTTATCCAGCGCTTCGGGGGCTCCATGGAGGGTAGGATTGATGAGCATCCCGAGAATGGTGGTCCTGGAGGATGCACAGCCTCGCCGGAACTGACCACACAGCAACAGCTAGAGGCCTTGCAGGTGGGTTTTGGTTGACGTTTTTTGCTTCTTCCGCTTGGCTTTTTGTTTAAGTAATTGGCTTTCTTCTTTAATTTTATCACTAATTAAAAATCTGTTGAAATTTCTCAACAAATGTCCGATTTTTTCGCTTTTTTTTTCTACGACTCGCTGTGCTGCACAACTCTCAACTAACTGATAACTGAATAAAAAAATCTGCAAAAATACAAAAATGCAAAACTGCAATCTTGAATCTGCAATCTGATCAGGCCGACGAGCTGCGTCGCAAGCGCGAAGCCCAATTACGTCAATTCGTCTTCTTTCAGCTGCGCGTTCATCTTAAATCCGGCAGCGATCTGGTGGCCATGGACAAGAATGGTGAGCACAAGGACACAAGCCTTGAAAAATCCTTATTTTTATACCCACAGTGCTGCTTATTAGTCTCTCGATTAAAGAGATTTATGACTTAATTATAGTAAAATTTATATTCAAAGAATTAAATAATACTTTAAGAGATTCTCTAATAAGAAAATTCACTAAAACCTTTAGTAGGCAGCACTGCTAAAGAAAAAACCCCACAGTTTCTCCTCCCATTTCCCAACTATTTCATTTTCCTCACCACCCAAAAACCCTCCCTTTTGTGCTTAATCAAGCACTTACCACCATCCTCGAGCACTGCAGTAACAAAAAATGTTCCTTTGTCTTTCGTTTTCTGTGTCGCAGGACTCAGTGATCCTTATGTCAAGTTCAAGGTCGGCGGCCGTCTCCTACACAAGTCGCGCACCATCCACAGGGACCTGAATCCGGTGTGGGACGAGGTCTTTATCGTGCCCATCGAGGACCCCTTCCAGCCGATTATTGTCAAGGTGAGTTCCGGGTAGGGAAAGTGAAAGTTAAGTGGGGGTGCTGGGACAGGTGCTACAGAAAAAGTTTACTGTACACTGAAATAAAACCCTGGTAATAATAATTTCTTGTGGTTTCTTTAGCATTTCTGTTATAGTTTTACTTGTATAAATTCTGCTTTGGTCTCTGGGGTTCCATAAATAGTTTTCCCCAGATTATATACCACCGATAAGTGGTAGGCATTTTTTTTTTATATCCCAGGGTAGCGTGGCCGAGCGGTCTAAGGCGCTGGTTTAAGGCACCAGTCTCCTCGGAGGCGTGGGTTCGAATCCCACCGCTGCCATTTGGGGGTTTCCCTTTTTTTCCCTCTTTTCCGTGATTTAATTTTGATTATACTCGTTATTTAATTTTCATTAAGGGAATACAAATTTCGAGCAGTGTGAAAACACAATCGAATAACGTTTTTGGGGGAATTATATTCCCACAAGCATAAAGCGCAAATCTAATCGAAATGAATTTCCGTTTTTGGCAGGTCTTCGACTACGATTGGGGACTGCAGGACGACTTTATGGGCTCGGCCAAGCTGGACTTAACCCAACTGGAGTTGGGCAAGGCCGAGGACATACACCTGCAGCTGTGCGATTCCGGCGGAAATCCTGGGGAGCATGGCATGGGCGAGATACTCATCAATTTGACGCTCTGGCCGCGCAGTCAGGAGGACAAGGAAATGGTGAGTGTATCCACAAGATCCCTCACAGTTTATTCCATAAGCGAAAGCAACTTGTAGGGGGCCATCAATCAGCCCTTCTCTTTGGGGTTTTTCTAGCCCATTGTCTGGCCACTTTTAATTGCCTTTCAACAAAACGAACACCTACACGACCCTTTTGTTGTATCAAGACGTTTATCCACAAGCGTCTGGTTACCCACTGACTTTATTTATGGCTCACCTGAATTGCTTTTGGGGTTTTTTTGTTGTGTTTTTCATCTCTGTTTTTTGTTGTTGTTGTTGTGGCGCTTAAACTTTGATCCAGTGCCCGCAACTAACTTGAACAATTGAGTCGGCTTTTCAACTATGGCACACTCATCATGACGAGCTTTGATCGCAGCGGTGGAGCTCGATGGAGCAAAAAGCTTGAGCTGTCGCCTGTCATTGGCATTGCATGTGGTTATCTCTCAACAAAACGAAGGCAATGGCAAAGGCAAACAATTGACAAACCGGGGGGGAAAATACAATGTAAATTGGGGTATATATGGGAGAATCGAAGGGGGAATACCCTGTAAGTTATAGAGAAATTTTTAAAAATATTTAAATTAGTTTAAAATTGAGAAAATGTTAAGGATTATTATTTGAAAGATTTAAAACTCATGTTAAGGGTTATTATATGAGAGATTTATAACCCATTAAGCCGAGTTCTATGAAGATTTTAAATGTTATATCAAGAAATAAAAATAGAAATAGAAATTTTTCTTTGTGGTTTTAGAATTTCTAAATATTTTTGTGAGTCTTCTTTTTAATTAAAATATATTTTATCTATGATTTTCATTTAATATAAAATTTTTCTATATTTTTATAAGGAAACTATCGAAATTAAATAATATTTTTTTTCATTAAAAATCTTACAGAATTCTGATAATAAAATAATTTAAAATATTTAATAGTAGAAAACAGGTTTCAATCATAATGAAGTGGAATTTTAAGATTTCACCTCTTGTAAAATTTTATAAATAAATCAAACAAAATTTTTAAAATATTTTTAAGGGTATTTAATAACCATTTACCTATTCAAGTTCATATAAAAAGTTAACCTAAACCCACAATGAGGTGTCAAGCTGAGTCACCTGGCTTACAACACTCTCAAAAGTACCTAGTACTTCCCCACTTACATGTGTAAAATCACACACATGCCTCTCCCCTAGTCCAGCATACCCCATTATTCAGTAATTAAGTCCGACTCCCCTGGCAAGAGCTCTCTATCCCAATCGGCTTCGACTTTAGTCACTCTTCGAGCGTCGCAGGCCAAGTGCGGCTTTGGGATCTTGTTTTGGTTTTGTTTTTCTCTCGCAATTTGTTGTCTACTTTGTTTGGGTTTCGGTTTCGATTACGGTTTTGGGGCTTGGACTCCCCAATCGAGAGCACAAAATGTTGGGCAATTGGCCCGGCTGCAAGCGGGCACCGCGCATGGTGCTCAAGCATGTGAGGGGCCAGCTGGAGCAGGGTTGCGACGATCTCATGGAGGCGGCTGAGACTCATTTTCCGGATATTGTGCAGCATTTTCAGCGTAACTCTAAGCTGGCCGAGTCATCGAAGCGTTTGAAGTCGCAGATCTGGAGCTCTGTGGTCACCATACTTCTGGTGAAAGCCAAGGATTTGCCGCTGGCGGAGGATGGCAGCAAGCTAATTGATATTCACTTTAAATTTAGGTGAGTTTTGAGGAGAAATTTGTTAAGGATAGGAATTATTTTAAAAATTATATTAGTAGCTTGATTTAAGAGAAAGAAATTCTTTTGAATATCTATTTAAAATTCAAGTACATTTTCCTTATAATTTTTTCTGTTTAATATTCTAAAATTTCTAGCAACTGCAGCCTTGAAGTTCATAGAATTTTTTAATAGCTTCATTTTTAATAGACTTCTTAATTTAAATTTTAATGAGCAACTTGACCAGAGCGCTTTTTATGTTTTATACTTCCTATCAGCAGCTCAAGGTTTATCACCAAGCTTGTATTAAAAAAGAGGCTGAAAAATACACTTGGAAACAAATATAAGCTAGCACTTCTATAAATCTATTAAAATAATATATTAAAAATAAATTAATACCCCTTTTGAAATTCAGATTGGGCAACGAGAAGTACAAGAGCAAGTCTTCCTGGACGGAACGCTGGCTGGAGCAGTTCGATCTCCACCTCTTCGATGAGGATCAGAACCTGGAGCTGGCTCTTTGGAATCGCAATTCCCTCTACGGCAAGGCCATCATTGATCTGAGTGTTTTCCAGCGCGAGACCACCCATGGCATATGGAAGCCTCTCGAGGATTGTCCTGGCGAAGTACACCTCATGCTTACGATAAGTGGAACCACTGCTTTGGAGACAATCAGCGATCTGAAGGCTTTTAAGGAGGATCCACGAGAGGCACAGTTATTACGGGAAAGATATCGCTTCCTGCGTTGCCTGCAAAATCTTCGAGATGTGGGTCATCTGACGGTGAAGGTATTTGGAGCTACGGGACTGGCGGCAGCGGATATAGGAGGAAAATCAGATCCTTTTTGTGTCCTGGAACTGGGCAATGCCCGGCTGCAGACCCAAACGGAGTACAAGACCCTAACGCCCAACTGGAATAAGATCTTTACTTTGTAAGCAACCATTTTTTAAGCTTCTTAAAGATTATAGACTTGTAAATTAATTTTATATATTTTTCTAGCAATGTCAAGGACATCACTCAGGTGCTGGAAATCACCGTCTTCGATGAGGATCGCGATCATCGTGTCGAGTTCCTGGGTAAACTAGTCATACCTCTGCTCCGAATCAAAAGCGGTGTCAAGCGTTGGTACACCCTCAAGGATAAGAACCTGTGTGTAAGGGCCAAGGGCAACTCTCCACAAATCCAACTGGAATTGACGGTGGTCTGGAATGAGGTACGAGCTGTTTGCCGGGCCCTGCAGCCCAAGGAGGAGAAGCTTATACAACAGGAAGCCAAGTTTAAGAGGCAGTTGTTCCTGCGAAATGTCAACCGACTCAAGGAGATTATCATGGATATCCTGGAAGCAGCGAGATATGTTCAGTAAGTAGTTTCTATAGAATTTTATACTTAAAACTCATATTTAATATTTCCCCAAAAGGAGCTGCTTTGAATGGGAATCCCCCGTGCGTTCCAGCATAGCCTTTGTCCTATGGATTGTGGCTTGTGTTTATGGTGATCTGGAAACGGTGCCCTTGGTTCTGTTACTCATCATACTCAAGTAGGAATTTTTCAATATAATTTATTATCAAGAATATATATAATTTATTCTTACTTTTTCTAGAAACTGGCTTATCCGCCTGATTACAGGCACCACAGATCCAGCTGCCCACTATGACTATGAATATGATGAGGACGATGACGATGACAAGGAGAAGGAGGAGAAGAAATCCATCAAGGAGAGATTGCAGGCCATACAAGAAGTCTCCCAAACCGTACAGAATACGATAGGTTATCTGGCCTCTCTAGGCGAAAGCACCATCAAGTGAGCTTGAATCTTTGATGATTTTTATAGAAATTCTTTATAATTTACTGACTTTCCAGCACATTTAACTTTTCCGTCCCCGAATTGACCTGGCTGGCCGTGGTCCTGCTGCTGGGTGCCATACTGGTCCTGCATTTTGTTCCTCTGCGCTGGCTGCTGCTCTTCTGGGGCCTGATGAAGTTCTCCCGCCGTTTGCTAAGGCCCAACACCATACCCAACAATGAGCTGTTGGACTTCCTATCTAGAGTGCCAGATAACGAAGAGATTGTATGTATATACTAGCAAAATCTATACATATTTTACTTGATTTAAATTTTCTTTAAAACAGAATCAATATAGAGAACTCCCTCCCGCGGCTCCTGCTGACCAGACCCGCTCTAATCCCAAGAAGAAGCTCAAAGGCTCATAGTCCATAACCAGCGCTGATGCAGTCATAGCCCAGCTGCAGTCCAGCGCTAACCAAGGAGCAGGAGGATCAGGCTCAGCAGGATCAAATGTCTCCAAACAGCAGCAGCTTCTGCAGAGATTCCGGGCCAATACCAGCCAGCTGAAGCAGCGCTTTGGCCAGGCCAAGAGCCTCAGTCTGAGCCATAGCGAATTCAATTAGACACCAAACAAAAAAAAAAGTTAGCTAGTAAAGTAAGGATCCAAAATCCATCAAATCAACTCAATTATTGCAGCACAAAAAACAAAGTTCGCTTCACTTATTTTCCTAGAACTATATATACACACAAACACACACACACGAACAGTTAATTATAAATGTCAAAAACTATTTACACCGCAAAGAAAAATAATGATAATGTATATACACTCGGACTCTATGTGTACCTAAGGTAACCTCTATCTCTCTCAAAGAATTATTCGAATATTGCTAACTACCTAAGATTCCTTATTGCGCGAATCCAAATGCGATTACTTATTTATTGTGTATTTCAATTTGTGATATTTTCAAAGAATTTTGCAACTAGGCTTACTTACTACTTATGTGACTTAATCCCACGGAAGCTCCAAGTCCCCGAAAACAAACAAACTCCATTTACAATTACAAATTTCGATTGCACCCTCGCCTCGTTTAAGGACGCTTCTTCATGATATTATACACCTTTACATTATAGTACATATACATATATAATATAATCCTAAACCTAAATTTCATTTGAAAGATTCGATAAAGATTGTTCAAAACATTTTCTAAAATTTACATTTATTATCAACTATATTGTCTAGGATAATCAGCTCGTCGCAGGCCACCCCCTCTGGCCCAGCCATATAAATATATTTCATGCATATACCTAAATACTTTAAATAAAATTAATTGCTACTGTAACCCACTCCAAACGATCGATTTGATAAAATTTAGATAGTTAAACTATTTTATACCCCGCAACAAGCAAACAAGGCAACAAGAAACAACAACAAGAAGAGCAACAACAAAGTTTTTATATACATACCGAACTCAATTAATTAATTAGCACCTAAGTTAAGTTTGTTATTTTTCAAAATATATACATATATATATAAACGAATACGAATGGCAAAAATAATAAAACATATTTTTGGATTTCGCTCAAGATATGAGAACTCTGGGGGTTGTCAAACTGTGGGTAATTCTGTGCCAAGTACAATGGCTTTTAAACTTTATTTACTTACAAAAGTTTGCAGCTTAAACTGCAAGCTTTATTTTATATATAACCTGAATGGGGAGGGTTTTATATTTATTATTAAAAAACAATTTAGAATAAGAACAACAAAGATAATTAATTTAAGGGACAAATTTGTATTCGATTTAAAAACTAGCACAGTTTCAAACCTGCTTAGAATCTTGGTCTAGAAGTAAGCGCAGACTTTAACCACATGTTAGTTCTCTTTTTTAGACCTTGTATGGCGAAAACTTATAGCCTTTCTTAAGTCAAAATTGGCATTATTATTTATTATAATTTTAAAATAAATCAAGGAAAGAAACTAAATTCCGGCAGACGAAATTTGTATACACTTTCAGAATCAAAATCATAACTAAGTCAAAATAGCATCAAATTCAATTCGGAAAGCTTTTCTAAGCTAGGTTTTTCTTGGCTAACAAATCTGCATACTAAATTTAAAATATTAAGAAATTTAAATTTTTTTCAATTTTTGAGAATTTTAATGATGTAACCCCTTATAAAATTTTGAAATTTTGAAAGAAAATTTGAAATTATTTTTTCTCTCGAAAATGACTAGAAAGTATCGCCTGTTGATGCTGATCAAGAATATATATGATTTATGGGGTCGGAAATGTCTCCTTCACTGCTTAGCAAGCTTATGACTAAAATAATACCCTGCAAAGGTATAATTAAATGAAATAAATAAAAAATTGTGTAGTTGTAAAAGAGTTGCTAATATCTGGCCCTACATATATTTAAGATATATTATATTTTCCTTATTAAATTAGAATTTTAAAACAATTAAATGGTAACGGTATTTATTGAATTATTCCTTTTGTATAAATAAATTTCAAACTTCAAAGGTATACAAACTTTGGTTTCCCGATTTTAGCTTCCTTATCTTTCTGGTATATATTATTTTTTATCTGCTCTTTATCAGTGTTTTGTTTTGCTCAGCTCTCTTGTTTACTTGCCCATTAAGCTCTCGAGTGCTAGAAATTAGCTGGGGATCGACAGAGTCTCGAACTGCACAACAAAAATATACCCAGCTTTTATAGCTTATCAGTATTTTAGTTAAAAGATTAGGCAAAGCCAGCAAACTTTTCCATTCAGTGATTTGATATATATAAATATTTATTTAAAAAGAAACAGAGAATTTTTTCTCTTTCATTAATTGATAAATATCAGAGAAATCCCTCTGTCCCAGACCCTGGGTAATTAGGTAACTGTAAATCTTATGGGTCAGCTCTCCCATGGGTATCGGTGATTTCGAGGCTTTGGCTGCATCTAAGGCCAAGTCAAGATCTTTGTTGATCAAAGAAATGGGAACTTTGTTAACCAAAGTTGAGGCAGATATTCCAGGAACTGGATTGTAGAATTCAGAAGTCCAGCAACGACCCGTGGATGAGTTGATTATCTCGGCAAAGGTCTGGGCATCTAAGCCTTGGGACACGGCCAAGTTCATGGCCTCCGAAACGCCAATCATGGAGATGGCCAGCATCATATTGTTGCACAGTTTGGCCGCCTGACCCATTCCAGGGACTCCACAGTGGACAATGCGTCGTCCCATGCACTCCAGTATACCCTTAACCGCCCTGAAGTCAGCTTCAGCTCCTCCTACCATAAAGGTGAGGCTGGCCTGCTGAGCTCCAGGTACTCCTCCAGATACGGGGGCATCTAGGAAACGGCCTCCCTGGTAGGTGATCCTTTTCTGCAAAGACTTGGCCAACTCTGGGGAGATTGTGGAGCAATCTATGAATGTTGTATCTCTTTTGAAGGTTTTGGTTAGGATTTCCTTGTAGGTGGCTTCTACAGTGGCATTGTTGGGCAGCATGGTGATCACATAGTTGGAATTCCTGGTCACTTCGGTGACTCCTGGGTGAACTAGGGCTCCTTTGGCCTTTATAGCATCACAGGCTTTTTTGGCTATATCAAAGACATTAAGTTTATGGCCAGTTTTGAGTAGATTCTTGGCCATAGGATTGCCCATATGGCCAAGTCCTATAAAGCCAATTTGGGACATGGTTCGAATGGGTATTTGTCGCCACAAATATAGATTATTAAGAGACAAAAGTCGGTGAGTCATAGTTGAAGTTATCCTAGAGAAATAGATAATTTTTATAATTAATTATTAAAATTAATTATTACTTTAATTTGAATTGATATGTATATAACTTTCTTTAGGGTAATATTTTTTGTAATTAATAAAATAGAGCTAAATAAATTGTTTGTTTTTTGAAGTAACAATTAGCATTACGATAATAAGTATAAGGAAGTCACCAATTAGCTATTTTATTTCGTCAGATTGATAAATTTAAGTTGGAAATTATGTTATCTCAAAAGACAATCTGTAATATATTAAATTAAACAATTTTTTAGGCACTTATAGGGTTACTTTTTTAATTTTAAAATATTTTATAGATAATTTTATTGATAAATTTCACCAAATATTTTAAAATACTAAACTTTTGAGGCTTTATTTTGGTTTCTTTTCAATTTTTAAACAATTTTATAGATATTTATATATTATAGAGTGAAATAACTCTTTAAAAATGTCAAGAATATATTTATTTAAAGCTTTAACCAAATTTCTGAAGCATTATAGACTTTTAAAATCTATTTTTTACTAAATTAAATAGCTTTTACTAATGAATACCTCCAATATAGACTTGCCTCTGTTGTTTCTTCACGCAAACAATGCCTCCCAAACCACAAGCTTTAATGCTACGCATTTGAATTAGTAAATTCCCCAGCAATACCCCCAAAACTGTGAGCTTTTACCACGCCATAATTTCCATTATCATGTCTATAGCCTCATACCTATTCCTCCTCCAAGATGCTCTGTTTACCTGAGAAGACGAGAGCTTAATGCTCGATCGCCATGCGGAATCTAATGCCACGAGTGCTGTGCTGGCCAGATAAGCTTTTAATCATTAATTACTGGCATTTATTTATTTGCTGGGGTGTGTTGAGAGCGGCGATAAGGCAAATCCCCCCCACATCTGGCACTGGCACTGGTACTATCAGCTGTCTGGGGTTTCTCGGATGTCTGATGTTGGCCAGACCAACCCACTGTTACGCAATAGAATGGAACTTTTTTTCACTCAACCAACGACAATCGAATACGTCTTTAATTTACGCAAAATACACGCAGAAAAAACGGGTATAAGTATATAATAATAAATGCAGGACTGGTGGGGATCAGCCTTAGCTAAGGTCCTTAACTCTAAACGCTGAACTTCTCCTTCTTCATGAGGTCGTACACCACAGAGAAGTCCTTGTTGCCCAGACCCTTATCGCACAGCGACAAGTACACCTTGTGGGCCAGCGAACCCAGCGGGATGGGGGAGTTGGAAGAGTTGGCCACACCGGAGGCCAGACCCAGATCCTTGGTGATCAGGGCAGTGGAGAAGCCGCCGGCATAATCCCGGTTAGCGGGGGCAGTGGGGCAGATGCCGGGCACGGGGTTGTAGACCTCCGAGGCCCAGCAGCGGCCGGTGGAAGAGTTGATGATCTCGGCAAAGACAGAGGCATCGAGTCCCTGACGTATGGCCAGATTCATGGCCTCCGAGACACCGATCATGGAGATGGCCAGCATCATGTTGTTGCACAGCTTGGCAGCCTGTCCCATGCCATAGACACCGCAGTGGGTGATCTTCTTGCCCATGCACTCCAGCACACTCTTCACCGCATTGTACTCCGCCTCAGTGCCGCCCACCATGAAGGTGAGGGTGGCCTGTTCGGCACCGGGAACTCCTCCGGAAACGGGGGCATCAATGAACCTGGCTCCCTTGCCGCTGATCTTCTTCTGCAGCGACTTGACCAGCTCCGGCGAGATCGTGGACGAGTCAATGAAGATGGTGTCCTTGTTAACGCCATCGGCAGTCATCTCCTCGTACGAGGCATCCACAATGGCATTGTTGGGCAGCATGGTGATCACAAAGTCAGAGTTTTTGGCCAGCTCGGAGGTCTTGGAGTAAACGGTGGCTCCCTTGGCGGCCAGTCCATCGCAGGCGGGCTTAGAGATGTCAAAGACATGCAGCTTGTGGCCGGCCTTGATGAGGTTGCTGGCCATGTTGGCGCCCATGTTGCCCAGGCCCACAAAGCCGATATTCTTGCCGCTGCCGCTCTGCGAGGACATGGCTCGGACCAAAGTCTGGCTCCAGGCACTCAGCATGGCGGGGGACATCACACGCAGAGACATGGCTGTGGAGGGGAAGAAATACATTAGATTTATTTAGTTATGTAATCGGGAGGAATACGTAGAGCATTATAGAAAAATAAGGCCTAGTTCGGCTTATAAAAGTGTATGCGAGACGAGTATAGCCAGAAATTTTGAGTGAAATAGCTCAATGAACAAGCAGGAGCTGTCAAAATAAGCCCTTAAACCTGTATAATTCCATCATGACGTAGAGTATCTGACACCCACCTGTGGATCTAGAATAACTATCTGGGGAGGAAGGCTAAAAAACTGCGAATGTTCTACGCGATCGGACGGCTGCCAGAAGCTCACTGTCTCCCATGGCTGGCGAGTCACGTAATTTTAGTTGGTTCCAGGCGGAGATCTAGAGTTGTCGAGTGCTATTAAAGATTCGAAAATATTAATAAATTATTTTTAAGATTTAAATATAAAATTAAATATATAAATTGTTTAAAAATTTTAGAAAATATTTAAACATGTATATTAGTTTTATTATTAATTTATTTTGTAAATATATAATTATTTTGCTGTATAAATATTATCTTAAAACTGATCTCTATTTATTTCTCAAGCAAAAAGTATCTTTCACAACCTCGACAGCTCTACCTTATCCAAAACAAGTTCTCTGAGGCACTACATTCTCTCTCTAGCTCTCTCTCTTTCCATCTGGCATATGCTTAGTTCTACTGTACATATAAATAAAGATATATACTGGCTATATACACCATTCCAGTGCCGACAAAAAAGCTTTCCGGCTCCACTCATTACAGTGTTTTCCCTTGATTTATGTTCTAATTGACTCGACACGTGCCGTTGTTTTTATTATCAGCAAAAACGGCCCAAAAAAACTTTCGATTTCATTTACTTTCCTTGACCTTCAAGCTGGTTCGTGTGGAAAGTGTGTGTGTGGGAATGGTGGGTGTGTCGTTGAGTGCCTCCACCAGTGACTGTCAAACTGTGAGCTTTCGCACTTGTAGTTCCATGTTCGTCGTTAATTAAAGTGTTTATTTTGGGAATTGAAGCTTTTCTCAGCTGTTCTTGTGTTAATTAAAGTTTTAGTTATATTTAAAAATAATTTAATTAATTTTAGTCAGCGTGAAGTGGCCTCAGTTCAATGCCTTTTGCCTTGAAATGGAATGACAAACTTGGGAATGGCTGCAATTGCATGAAATATCGTGCATAACCAAGTTCGCACGCGCAATTTCCAAATTTATGCTTGGGTTTTTATACACTTTTTCAAGGGTTTTATTGGTTTTACAAGGTAGAAATATTTTTAGAAATTCAGAGAAGCTTAAATTAAGCAAATTAAATTTAGAAAATAAATCAGAAAATAATTTCAGTAAATATATCAGTAATAATTTCTAGAATTTTAAATATTTTTCTCAAAGTTTATTTAATATGTTTTTATATAACATTAAACTTAAACAAAACATTAAATAAAGATTATTTACCTTTATTATTTAATATAAATTTATACTACTATTTATCTTTATATCTAAAGGGTATTTCGTCTTCTCTCTTTCACAAATTTTTCCCCTTTTTTGTTTAATGTTTTCCTTTTTATTTTTTGCACCTTTCTTGCGTTTCGCGAGTTGCCAATACTTTTGATCCCACAATAAAAACAATTTGATGTTTCGCGATTTTCTGTGTTTGCTTTTTTTGTGCTATTTTTATCACAACTTTCCGAACTTCAATTGGCGCAGAGATAGTTTTTGTTTGTTGTTTTTATTTTCCTTCGATGCTGTTGTGCCCCTCTGCCGTTGTTGTTGATGTTTTTTAATGTTTATTTGCTCGCATAAAAATCGGCATGCATGAAATTGCAACCCGAGCAGCTTGCTGCGTTTCGCAAAATCTCGGCCAATTTACGGCCCGCCTGTCGTGGCCCGAATTGGTTACGCAATCGTTGGTCTTCATGACTTCAGGTCCGGGGACTGGGCTAACTGCGTCTGCGTCTGCGTCAGCAGCATTATGTTTTATCAAAAAGAAAACGTCAGGAGTACACTGAAGGGAAATTTGAGTTAAGACTTAGGGGAAGTATTAAAAAATTTATTTCAATAAACCCAAAGATAATAGATTTTTGTTCATAGTAACAAAAGTTAGTCAAGTAAATAATAAAAGATTTAAGGGAGAAAGTATTTTAAGTAGAGAGTTTAGAATATAATTTACCTGCTCTAAATATTATTGCATTTATTTTTAAATTAGGTATTTTATAGATTTAATGTATGCATTTAATGTTATTAATAATACCTTTGTATTTCTATTTTATTTCTATATTATAACACTAAATTTTGATTTCAAAAAATCCTCTTGAAAACATAAGTATTTGAGTGTGTTCTTCTTAAAAATAATATATATATTTTAGTGCCTTCAATATGTTAATAAAATTATTGATTACTTAGGAAACATCTCACAAAATATATTAAGAAAATACTTCCATAAAATGTCTCATGGAGAAAAGTATTTTAATATATTCCCACAATTCAAGATTTTCCCCAAACAATATGCATTAAAAAACCTTAATTAAACTTAAACTTTAATCTTTAATTTTTCAAGTGTATATTTTTGCACCTCAAACTATCCTGAAACATATTTTCTTTACACTCTTAAAAGTTTAAACCGCTTGATAACTTTTCTCTCCCTGCAGCAGCCATAAAACTAAACTCGATTTTCGCCCAAGAGAACCAGTAAAGTGGAGGCATACATACATATATAAATCCGATCACTGAGGTCTCCGCCGCAACGATGATGATTTGATGATTTATCTGTGCCAACAGCGACAGCGCCTTCGTCTGCAGCATCCGCCAACGGCGGTTAAGTGCATTTCAATTTTCAATTTTTTGGGGAGTGGAGCGAATTGAGATCGCAATGGCGATGGCGATGGCGACGACAATGGTGCGAAATAGGGGACATCACTGGCCGGATTACATAATCCAGAGCTGTGGCAGCTGTCAATTGTCAAAGCAGTGGCCAAAAGACCCTTATCTAACGCCGTAAAGTGCAATTCAGCAAATGATTAACACGAATTGTGGAGGCAGTGTACTACAGCGAGTCTCTCGTCTCTTTGAAACAATTTACAAATTTTACAACCAAAAAGCCAAGAAAAGGCGCCAAAAAAAAGAAGCCACAGGCGAAGTGAGGCATTAAAAACTACACAAACTACAGAAATCACCAGCAGAAACCACGCGGGCTTGGCTTGGAACATGTTCATGTTCATGGCTTGCGTACATCAAGTATACGCAGCGGTGTGCCAAGCTCATTAGGCAGGCATTATAACATTTCTCTATAGCAATTGCTGTTGTTGCTGCCACTAATTTCCATGTCAAACACAGACAGACAAGCGAAATTTCACTCAGCGCACCCACAAAACCGAATCATAGTGCTCTTGAATGCGGTGAAATAATTCAAACTGAAGATTGAATTTTATTTACTCACAAACATTGCATTATTAGCGCACATATTTACAGTGCGGCACAAAAGCTTAGGGGTTTTATTTATTTTTGTATGCAAAAAGGAAATTGTTTGAGCAAGCGCATCTTGGGGATTAGCCTGGTTTTTTAAGTGTTTATTTTATTTATTTATGAATAGTTGCAATTAAACTTGATTTTTATAGGGTTTTTGATGGAATTAAGGGGCATTTTTGTAATTTCAAACATCATATTTAGGTCAAAATATCTCAGCAACTTGTTTAAATTATTAATAAATGTGTATAAAAATTATAAATAATTAAAAATTATAATTTTAATAGGATTTTATGTACTTTAAAGTGATAATAAATTTAAATAGACTCAAAAATCTATGGCACTGGCAGCTACATTGTTCTATATACTAAATAGTTGTAAATATTATAAGTTTTTGTATAATTCTAACATAAAAAAAAATTATAAAAATAAATAAATAAAATACCCTTAAAATAGTGTTATTATTTTGGTGAAAATTAAGACTTAAAAATATAATAACAAAGTCAAAAAACTTCAAATTCATTTCGGAAAGCGGTTTTATGTTAGGTTTAAATAGGTTAACAAATCTGCATACTAAATTAAAAATTTTAAAAAATCAAAATTTTTGCAAATTTTAATGATGTAACCCCTTATCAAATTTTGTAAAAAATGAAAAAATCTAGTTTTCTTCCGGACATGGCTAGAAAGACTCGGCTGTTGATGCTGTTCAATAATATATGTATATGATTTATAGGGTCGGAAATGGCTTCTTCACTGCTTAATTTAACTTCTGACTAAACTTTTAATACCGTAGAAATTTATGAAAATATAAAATAATATTTAAAAAAATAAACCCGTTGCAATACCCCTGCAACGCACTGTATCTGCTGGATAGTTGCTTGACCTGAACAGCCGCCCTGAACTCATGTTGCACGCAATTTGATGAATGGAGACAGCTTTATAGCCTTAAAGCCCCATGATTAAATTTTTGCATGCCGCTGCGTAGAGACCCGTGACTCACACACACATTATCCCAGTGATTCCGCCAGTGACATCGTGAGCGACTACTGACATTTTCAGACGTAGTCTCAGTCTTCGATTTCGTTTCCGGCCAGCACGTAATTGAAATTACATTTGGCCAGAAATTTTTTGGCAGTGAAATTACCACCGCATTCGATAATCACTTCGTATTCGGATTTAAATTCGAACTCGGACTTAATTACTTCCCAGTGGCAGCAGTGCTACCTGCCTGGGCTGGACTTTCTTTCGCTCTCAATCAGACAGACTCTCGACGGACCTACATTAACATGCCAGCTGAAGAGACCACTCCAAAATAAAAGCGATATGGAAATGGGGGAAAAACTCAGAGACGCCCAACACGGAAAATTGAAATGCAGTCGGGGAAAAGGAAAGTGAAATTATCGGCCAAGCTCCCCTCGCTGAATTCGATTCAATTCGTTTTCGATTTCATTCGGTTTTTCGAATCGTTTCTAAGGTTCGCGCTTTTTAATACGCCGCCTGAATAATTATTATGCATACGTAGTACGTCCACATATCGGGCTCAGTCGGGTTCGCGGCCTATAGTTTTCGATCCGCTGCGCAGTGAAATTGAAAATCATTTTTGAAAGTGGTAAAATTATTCGCTGCCCCGACAAAACTAACATACACACATTCCAGGCGAGACCGTTTAAAGCAAATGTTTTTTGTCGTAATTTTTCATCGCGTTGTTGTTTGTATTTTGGATGTTTTTCTTCGGAGTTTTTTTCGCCTTCTTTTTTTTTTTTTTGGTCACTGTATTACAAAATTTTAATTGCAGTCGGCAGAGTGAACCAAAAAAGAAATGCAAGTTTTGAGTAAAGCTAAAAGCAGCAAGTGAATGCTCTATGGAGGCTTAGATAATTTTTTGATGGAATATCGAATGGTTTTAATTTAAAAGAAATTAAATATAAGTGCTTAGAAATTTAATTGAAGGAAAAATAAATATTATTTGTATGTTTAATACTTAAAATAAAGAAATAACTAGAAGAGCTCAAAGGAAAAAGTACAAAATTCTCTAAACTAAGAAAGAAAAATATAAAAAATTCTTTATATCAAGCAGAAATATTTGTAATAAATATCTAAAATATGTTAAATATTTTAAATGAAGTTTTAACTTCGTTTTTTTGTTGCATTACTTTTATTTTAATAAAATCTTTCATAAATTACTTTTTTAATTATAATAAAACTTAATTTTTATAAACTAAACTGCAACAATAGGGTTTTAATATTTCAACAACTTGCTTACATTTTCATTTTATTTTTTATTTCTTTACAAACAGCAATAAAATATTGCTAACAAAGTACAAATAATAAGGAACTGTTGTAATTTAATTAACAAAAAAAAAGTAAAACAAGAAACTAGGAAACACAGTATAAAATTTATCAAACTAAAACTCCCATTACCCTGACATTTATTAGCAATAAAATATTAATAAAATTAGGAAACTGCTGAGGCATAGTATAAAAATATAAACTACTAATCTTTGACTAATAAAAAAGCAAGGAAAAACAGTTTCTAATTAAACATAAATAACACCCGCTGTGGATTTAACTTTATTAATAACAAGAAAAAATTAAATATAGGTTTAAGCATCAGCAGAGCTGTCGGAAGTTTGGATTAAAACAGGGAAAGACATGTAAAATAATTACCAGATTAAACCCCCATTGTTCGAAGGCCAATACCCCCTGCTGTTTCTTCACCTACTAGAAACCCTGCCCCGCCCCTACTCTTTCCAGAGAGTGTCTTAATCCCGCCATCGGCCACATCATCAGCAGCGGCAGATAAATGTTTGGCTAACCCAAATCCACACACAAGGAAGGAAACCGGGAAACTGGCCAGGCGCTGCCAAGAGCCTCTCCGCGGGCAATCCAGTTTAGATTTTGACCATTGCAGTGCAGCACTTGGGAGCAGGAAGCATTTTATGGCCAAAAGCAGCACAGAGCTAAAAAAAGTTGTCTTACTTTCGTGAGCCAAAAAAAAAATACAAAAAGTAATGGCAAGACGATGCGTCGACGCATCGACAAATGTCGCGCGCGCGCAGCTCTCTCTCCTTCGGGACAAATCTCACCTGGCCAGTAGTTCAGGTTGCCTTACATAATACCCTGTCAATCGGAGTTGCATCAGATTGCCGGCTTATATCCAAGATTCTACAGGTAATTAAGCCGAAATTATGCCAGAAAAAGAAAAACAGCAGTCAATTAAGAGTTGATCTATCTCGACTCGGTGGGAACTCTTTTGTGGAGATTGACTTGGATTTTATGCAAATCTCGTTACTCTTTTCCGCATACGTTGCGGAAAATGGCTTTGGCCTGGGAAAAACCATTCATAAAACGGGGCTGAAGGTCGCTCGGTTACACCTGTATAGCCATTTGCCATTTTGCCTTGGTGTGGCTGTTAAAGACACCTGTGAAAAGGTCAACACTAATTACACTCAACTCCAACGATTTCAATTGATTTCGTTTGATTCTCTTGATGCTGGGGGCAGGTGAAAGTGCTTTGTTCTAGTGGAAATACCACTCAGCGGAAGCCCCTAGACAGTCACGGTTGAATGATCTCCTCGAAAAGACCGGAGACCACCGCCTCATCACATAAGTCAAGTCAGGCTAGAGGTGGGAAACCTTCCTCGTACGTCATCGCTCTGCACATAACTCACGCCCACCTGGGCTGAGGTGAGGCGTTATGACAACTTGACTGATTGGATTTGGCGGTGAGGCTGCTGCTGCCGATGCTGAGATGCTGTCAATGCACTCACATTCGCCTTTCCAAGCTGTAAAAATTGAAAAGAAAATCGCGACAAAGCGAGGCTCTCTTGTGTGTGCTGTGGGTTACCCAATGCATAATGGATAATGGGCTCTGAACGCTGAACGATATGCTAATTAACTTAATTTCCACGATCCATAAACGTCTCACTTAGGCAATTGTTTTGGCTTTGGCGGAAATCCAGCGGCGGCTATGAGAATATTTTAATTGCCAAGCCAAAGAAGTTGAATAAAAAGGTCTTTTTCTAAGGCCAATTCTAGGAGACTGCTAAATTTTTTGGCCAACTTAAGGGGTTTACACTGGAAATTAAATTAAAATATGTGCAAAATATAATGATTTAATATAAAAATATATTCAAAAGAACAATTTTAAGACCCTTAATAAACGCCTTTACTTTTATATTCATACCTCTTACCTACCATTAAATATTAACCCATCTTAAGTCACTTAAAATTTAGCAAGTTCACTTTAATTAACTCAACTTAAACTTAAACCTTATACTTAAAATCTTATCACACATCTTATGGCACTCTTACTTAATTATAGTTTTCAATAAGTTGCACTAATTGCTAACAAAAAAAAGAAAACCCCGCTAAAGGTCGGTATGGATTCTACGCCTTTTAAATGAAAAATAAAGCCTTTTATGTGTGTTGTTACCAAAAAAAGAGGTAGGAAACACACACAAAAAATCCATAACAAACAATTCAATTAAAACCATAATGGAATTTGTGTAATAACCAAACAAATCCAACGACCTTCAGGCCCAAAAAAAAAAGCCAATTAAACGCTAGCCACCACCACATGGCAATGAGTCAGAATTAAGTCTGCATTGCCCACTTTAAACTATATATATCGGGTATTAGATATATAACTCTGGCGCTGCACATTCAATATTTTCCCAGCAGCGGCGACAAAAAACAAGTCCCCCGGTGGATTGCAAAACTGGAACGACATCGGTGCAAAGCTAATGCTAAAACATGTTAGCATTTATGGCCAACTTGATTTGCATTTAGTGCATTCTTTTGGGGACAGTTTTAAGGGGGGGAGGAAGCCTGTTAATTTCAATTATGGGTAACAAATCATTGGAGGATCTACCAAGCCTAAGCCAGATCTTTTGTGTAAGCCAGAAAAAGCCACAACTTGGATGTTAAGTTAACTGAGGCTAAGACGGAGACTGAGGCTAAGACGGAGACTGCGGCTGAGACAGAGACGTAGGCTTCGACTGCGGCGTAGACGTCGACTTCGACTGCGACTGCGACTTCCACCGATCGCTCTTGGATGAAAACCTGCGAGCGGAGCCGGAGCACTCTTACTTACTTTGGGCCGCGACGCTTTTCATTTCTTCAGTCTGTTAACGGCACGCCAACGATGCAGACGCGGCTAAAAAACCAGCTCTCCTGGTAACTGTTTGATTTGAGTCCAATACAAGCACAGTGGTGACCGCCCAATAAAAAAAATAAAAGTGCTACCAACTCCTGTTCCGGCTTCTCCTGTTTCAAAGTGCATTTGTTTCAAGTGATTTAAATAAAAAATTAAATAAAATAAAATACAAATCTTCAAAGGCCCTAACCAGCAGCTTTCGGAACTTACGCTTGGATGGCCGCTAATTAAAAACCTAAAATTTAATCAAGTGAAAGAGAAACATCACAGGAAGAAGCCATAACAGATACCAGCTTCCAGCTTGTAGCTCAGCTCCATTGGTGAGCTTAGGTAGGTAAGTGCCAAAAAAGGCAAAATAGAAATTTGTAACGCATGTCTTGGCAGTTTTTTTTTCTATTTTTTTTCGCTAGTTATTTTTTTCATGCTCTAATTATTTGGAAATTTCATTTTGTTTAACTCGTTAACTGGCATGCAATTTGTTTGCCCAAAGATTAGTCAGGCATTCATCCTCTGGCGAGTCTAGCTTTATGGCCAGAGACTTCCTCAATTTAGGCAATAAAAAAAAAAGAGTTATATATAAATGTAAAAGGTGCTGCCCCCATGGAAATAACTGGTCCATCCTCTAGCCATCACCATTCTTTGAAGAAGATCTCTTGGGTTTTGTTAGCTGGCTGCTGCTTTTCCAAACGCATCTCCGCCACTTCATTAACCCAATTTTCACTTCACCCGGAGAGAGAGAAACTTTTTTTGGACAAGAGAAAAATCTTGTTTATCGGGCCAATTTACATAGGGTCGTTTGGACAGACATTTCTCTTCCCTAATCTCTGATCTTAACGGAACTAATGTCTGCACTTATTTGCTGCTGTTTGTTGAGCTTTTCTGATGTTTGTTTTGTGATTTTTACGAGTCTTATAAAGTCATACAAGTACCCTCGTTTTTTATTTATTTTTATACCCTCCTTGTTGTTGTTTTATTTTTTATGCGAACTGTCAGCGTTTTCGAAATTAAATACTTTCTAATTACAATAAACGCAGCCGATGGCCGCCGGCCGGCCAATGTCCATAGCCTTTGGCTGAAGTCTGAAATCACGTAGCCGCCCCATCGGCCAATGCCAAAGCCAATAAAAAAAAAAAAAAAACAGCAGATAATAATAAAGAAAAGAGAGAAACAAAACTTGCGAAAGTGTCAAGAAAATATAATACCGCTTCAAGACTCACTTTTTCTTTATTGTCATGTCTTAATGTGGCGCCTGATGTGTTTATTTGCGCCATCAGGCCTCCACAACATACATACATACCTCACCTGCATCCCCTTGCCCGCAATGAAAGTGAAACGTGCAAATGGCTTTGCGTATTTGCAGAAGCTTCCATCGTTCAGCACGTGCCCTGCCAGCCATCCATCGAGTCATCCAACCATCCATATAGCCAGGCAGCCAGTCAGCCATCCATCCATATTGCAATATATCCACTCCACCAGTGTGTGGTCTTCGTCTTTCGCCGCTTTCAATTACTCAACCTCGAAATGTTCAATTTGTCAAGCGTTGAGTCCAGATGAGCGATTACGACTTTCTTCTCAGCGAGCCAAACAAAAGACTTAGGACACAAACTTGGCTAAACAAAAGACTTAAGACCCGAACTTGGCTCATTAGCGGGGGTTTTGTCTGGTTGAAAGTCTGGCAGAACTTAAGAGGAGACTTAGGTAAATCATTTTGTACTTTAATTAGTAGAGAAATTTAGTTATTAGTAGTTGTAAGTTAGTTTAGAAAATTTTAATATACTTTTTCCCACAAAATTTAGTAAAAAATGTACTTTCTTTAATATATCTTTGCTGTAAAATAATTCAAATGGTTAGGAATTTATACAATTTGTTGGATATTATTGTTAATAAATATTTTTAATAAATTTTATTGGAAATAAATGTTCAAATTCGTGCCAGTTATGGTTCAAAGCTCAGTCATAAAACTTAAATAAGCATAAAAAAATATATATAACCATTTATAACTCCCATAAACAACAGTAAAAATCTCTCTTTTCTTTAAAAATTAACATATTAAAGGCCATTGAATTTATTTTAATTAAAACTTTGACTTAGCAAATACATAATCCAGCGATTTCATTAGTTACTAGTTCGGATAACTAAAGAAAAACAAGTAGCTGTTAAATAGCATTAAGTAATTCACTTAAAATGTTCAGTTATTGTATTAAGAGCAGCATAAAACGCCACAAGAAATACCTAATGAACTTATTAATTTATTTATCAATTCATCTATTTATTGATTCACTTTAATAATTCCATTTGTCACCAAAAAGCTCAGCGATCTTTCGACAGACCACAATTATCCCAGGCACTTGTGACACGCACTGAATTCTCAATGTGAATAATTACTATGCAATATTGTGGCAATATTCAGGCAATATTCAAGATAAATTCAAGCTATATGCAAGCTATATCAGATCTAAATCACCTTTAAGCCGCAAGACAAAAACAAAATCAATTCAAATGGGGCATTTATAGCTCGGTCGACTGGTAACCAAAATCGTGAGTTGCAGTTGCATGTGCAGGTCGCCTCTTAAGTCCCCTTGTAAAACCCCCCTTGAAAACCCACACTGTTGATTAGTCAGCACCCGGCTGCTAGCAATTGCCAGAGGCTTTTTGCTACGTTTTGTCTCCGTCTACGTCTCAGACTGAGACTCAGCCTCGGTATTTTTCTTCTAGATCCCCGACAAGTTGAAGTGTCTTTGGCCTACTGAATTTTTTCTCACACTCTTGCCTTGGTCACGGATGTGGATGTGGATTGATTGCTAATGTTCATCTGGGCAGATATATCTGCCAGGCAGGCGGCTCAGTTCAGTTTATGTGGATACCCTCGACGCGTTGCACAAGTCTTTGGCGGGCCGAGAATGAGACCCACTTGAGGCATGGCTAAGTGCAGGGAGAGAAATGTGTTTAGGAGATTTTAAAAAATACAATAAAATTAAAGAAAATTAAATAAATAATTTAATAAATTTTAAATATACATTTTTAAACAATGAAAAAAATTATTGAACTAGTAAAAGAATATGTTTTGCAGAGCAGTAAATACTTGTGATATTTTTTAGAGGGTTGAAACTGGGAAGCTGAGGTTGAATAACTCAAAAGAAAATCTTCTTACTTAATATAGGGTAAGGTGGGGTAAAGCCGACCTAGTAAATGGTTTTGGCTATAAAATGCTTATTTTACATCGGATCAAGTCGTTATATATACCAAATTAAAGGTTAGACTTTTGCGCAACTTTCTATGCATAGCATTTTATTCATACTTTTGAAAAGTTTTGAGATACAAACGTTTTACGAAAAAGTTCATTTTTGCTATGTTCAAAAATGATGGGGTAAACCCGACCGCCTATGTTTTTGGTTGATTTAGTACAGATATAACCTAAATATAGGTTTTGCAATGATAAATCAATCAATGTTATGTTATATAATGGTAGTAAAAGATAATAGAATTAAAAAAATGAAAATAGCAAAATAATTAATCAGTATCATCTGATTCGCTGCTCAAATAGCTTGCTGGCGTTTTTTGGTTCGAGTTGAACGTCTGGTTGGTTGCGATGTTGATGGTTTTGGTGTGATTGTTGTTTTTTTTGCTTTTTTTGCGGCAGGACTTACCCCACTATTTAGAGGTCGGATTTGCCCCACGACGTACTTTTTCATAAAAACGCAATTAAAAAAGAAATTATGAAAAAAAATTAACCAAACTTATTTGCACTTTGTAGGACTTTATTCAAAGAATCTAAATCCACTTACCTTTTCATGCGATAACTTTGACAAAAAGAAATATCCTGCAGTTAATTATGCACAAAAATGAAAGTCAAAATTGTGAAAACAAACTTGTTGTCGTTTGACCATCTCAATGTTGACTAATAAAATGCTGTCATACCACCATTTTCATTGTTTTCGATGCTCTACACGACAACACTAATATTAGTTTGTGTAGTGCTTCCGTTTTTCGAAAACAGAGGGAGGTCGGGTTTACCCACACTGTCGGCTTTACCCCACCTTACCCTATTAATAGAAATAAATATTTTTAAATTAATTAGTACATAAAAAACATCATAGAATATATATTTATAGTCATAAGAAACTTTTATAATTTCGTTTATTAAATATTTCCCTCAAAGAAAGGTTAAAATTTAATAAATTATCAGTTTTTGGAAAGAGATTTTATTCTGTGATAGTTTATAACAATTAAACCAATTTTTGGATAACAAAATAAGTAATAAATTAATTAATAATAATACAAAAATAAAGCATTTCTTGAATACTAACAAAAAATCGTAGATTTATCTATGTAATTTAATTATTTGTATTCAAAAGAGCTTTAAATTCTCCGATTTTGTTAAAATCTCTTTACATGTATATAAAACTATTGCCTGCTCATCTTCTCATAACCAAATAACCCTTACTTTTCCTTCAGTGTAATCATTTTCAGAGCCACTCTTGCTTTCTTCAGTTGCTCCAGTTGGCTGCTGCTTTGTTTTGTCACAGCCTGCTTTATGGTTGTTCATATATACAAGTACTATAACATATATATATATATATAAACCCTCTACAGCCGGGGTAAAGTAGTCTCTCTGTTGCAATTGTCACATTGTTTTAAGCCAGTTATCGGCCTGCTTTTTACCAACTCAAGTTTGGCAAGAAAAGAAAAAAAAGAGACAGTTGTCAGGGAGTGTTGTAATTAGCTGAGGAGCCGCCGCAGCCATATCATCATTATTCGATTTGCGATGAGCGGCAAGTGATAAGCGTTTAAGACAATTTAACTGCGAATTCCGTTTTGTCAAACAACGGCCCAAGGCATCCGGTTTTCAAAGTTGCGCAACCCATCGAGCTCCCCCGCATGCCAAATTTGTATAGAAAACAATACCAAAAGAAATGTTCGACGGAGAAATACTTTCGCTTTCAAATGCTCGAGCATAAATTCTTGGGATTACGCAAGCGCCCAAGGCCCCCGCGAGGCATGTTTTGGTTTGCTGAGCAGGTGGTAGTGGTGCCTCTTAGCCACTTACCTCATTTGGAAAGCAGCTAAGAAATGAAAGTTGCGTGAAATTTACATTTCGTTTAATAATTTCGAACATTTCTTCGGGGTCGCTGTGGCATAAAATTTGAGGAATTAGCCCATGTTTTTCCTATGTCTTCTGGTTTTTTTTAAGTCTTTCCGGCAGGCCCAGGAGCACGCCCCCCAATAATACCCCCAGACTGAGGCCAATTTTGAATGCCAGCTTGAAGTGCATTTCATTGTCGCTTTCGTTTCGTATTTTTTCTACCATTTTCCTCTATTTTATACATCTCTCTTTTGACGACGAGTTCATTGGCTCTGCATAATTTATGCGTTCGTTTTTTAAGCCCAGCAGCAGCCATCAATCCTGACGTTTGTCGTTGGCCCCAAACTCAGGCTAATTGGCCGTAACTGTAACTCGAAATAAAAAAGACAAATGATTTCGGCACTAGAGCGATACAATCCGTCAATATTTAATGTGCGAATTGTGCAAGTATCTAACGAGTAGGGGGAAACTATTGCCAATATGCTGAGTTACTCATGACTCACGGCTCACCTGGGTCACGCACATTCCTTTGGCCAGCTTTGGGCTGCTTTGCTCTAATAACTTGGCTGCAGCAAGTATGTATCTGACGGATCCGTAGGCGGTAACCCGAAAAAAAAAACACACACAAACCTGAGAGGTGTGTGTGTGTGACCAGCTAAGCGTGGCCGTTGCAGCCTCCAGATGCAATTAAATCTGAGAAAAACTTGAGAAAAACTAGAGCTCTAGAAACCAAGATCTCTTGGCTATATTACAACATCTCCTGCTTGAAATCCCCTCTATTTGCAGCCCTTTTAATTACTCCTCAACTAATGTATCTTTGTTTTTTGTTTTCAGTTACCTCAACCATACTTTTTGGGCCCAGTTTGCTAGCTTTGAGAGTGTTTGTTGTCTGGCTGCCGCTGTTTATGGTAAGTCTACAATGGGTTTGCAGCGACCTTGCACGAATAGTGGGTGTGGTATTACTCACCTGGGTGCGGGCATCAGTAATCCAATTAAATCACTCGCCAAATGATCAGCAAAGCGATGAAACAATGTCAATGCCAGAAGTAATACCCAGAGACGCCTTTATAATCCAACTTAAAGCATAATCCCTTCATCCGTGGTAAGCCTCTTTTGAGGCACAGGAAAGTGTGTTTACATCCGGCTCTGTGGTCAGCTACCAACGACCTGCCATAAATCCCAACAGATACACGCCCCCGCCAGCAAGGAAAGTCCAAGTCCAAGTCCAAGACCAAGTCCAAGTCCGCTTGCAAAGTCCGCTTTGATTTTAACAGATGTCTGGGCCACAAAATGAAAGGGAAATTGCCAGTTGCCTGGAGAGACCAACTCCTCACCTGTCTCTGCCTTTTTTCCGAGGGCATTGTCACATTTCACTTTCAATGATCGCCGAAGATTTCAAGTGCAGTGCTCGGTCTCCAGCGAGGTGTGACAATGGGCCGGCTCTCTGTTTGCTTTATAAATTTTTGATAACTGGTTTTTTTTTCGGTACAAAATATTGACCGCAAGTGAGTCTAATTTCTATTATTTTCCTACACTTTCTTCTTTCACTGTGCCAGACACAGTGCTCTCCCGTTTTGATAAACCGCTGCAAGTTCCGTTTTTAAAGCTGTTACGATATATTTTTGCGGTTTTTATTTTAAACGATTTTGTTCAGTGATTTTTGCTGTATTTTTTGCCGCATTTTTTGTTGCTTTCGTTTAACCCATTTAATGCGGCATCCGTTGGTACCAACACACACACACACACACACACACACGATTAATTCATTGGAAAAGTGAAAACGAAAGTGCTCGAGGAGATCGCAGATCGCTGGCCAGCATGTGTGTGTGTGTGTATGCTCAGTGGTCAGGTTTTGGTCAGGTTTTTTATTATTTTTTATTTCGGCTTCACTTTCGTTTTCAGGCAAAAGGCGAATCTTCTGGATTGGCTTGATCATTTGCCATAATTTGCGATTACACCGACTCGGGGGGGGACTGTTCATGATGATGCAATTAGCATCTCCACAGACATATGCAAAATGCGAAATGCAAAATGAGGAAACAAGGAAATCAAAAACTGTCGCCGGCAATTCATTGATTGTGGTTCATGGATCATGGTTTTGGCCAATGAGGCATATTACCAGCAAAAGCCAGACTACCATTTCGCCTTAAGTATTGCAATTTCTCGCATTTGGCCAAATGAAAACAAGCCCACAATTATGGCCACTTGGACGGGCAGTTATGGCTCGACCGCCGGACCAGTTGCACTTACAGTTACACTTGCCACACCGAACAGAGATACAGATGCAGATACAGAGACAGTTAGCGAGTCAGATACAGATACAGATACAGCTGGCGAGACAGGTACAGGTACAGCTGCAGATACAGCTACAAATCCATAGCCAGACCCGGCAATTACCTTTTGATTCACTGCAGTTTGTATTGCACATACCTTTCACTTGCCCCCAGTTAGTCGTTGTCGGCGGTCATGAAAAATGTAAATGCTTTGAAAGAATCCAAAGAGCTAACGCCCAGCGACCTTGGCTTCAGGTTGGGCAATATCTAGCTAAGTACAGTCTTTAAAACTCATTGGAAATTCATCTGAATTTGCATTTGGTTTTGTGTAATTACAGGCGACAATTAGGTACCGGTTCTGGGTGTTCCGGTTTCTAAGTTTGTCTGTAGTTTTTAATCATTTTTCTTTTGCTTTTTGGTGACCTTTCACTGGAGTTCATTAAAATTTTCGGTGGGTTTTTGTTTTGCGTATTGTGAAATTCCTTTAATTGTGGTTATTTCCACTTTGCTTGAAGTTACTTCATTACAAATTGGCAAAAATATAAGTTACCATAACAATGGGTGACCTCTTGTAGGGGCTTTTGGTTTGGGGATCTTGGCATTTAAGAATGTCAAACTTTGCATGCAGAAAATTCATTAGTTATTTGATTAGATGAAGCTTTGCTTTAGTTGGTTTTAATTAAAAATTAGTTTGGTATTTAAAGCTTAGTTTAGGCTTATTCAATCTGGTTTTAAATGATGATTAGGAAAGCCTCTTGTTGACACCTAGAAGCATTTCCTACTCATTTTTGTCTCTTTTATTCTCTTCATAACCATAAAATCTATCTCAACTATACATATTTTCCTAAATATTCTCTTATATATTCTCCCATATATCCTCCTAGATATTCTTTTATAGCCCCAACTAATCCCCTCCCTCATTACTCTTCCCTTTTCCAGGCAATTAAGCTATGAAGCGAGGCATGCAACTCACCGCCGCCTGGCTGTGCTTACTGGCCACGGCCAGCTTAGCTCAGAACCAGGAGTCATCCGCCAAATGGTCCCGCCAGCTGGAAAGCGTAGGACAAACCGATTCTCTGGACTCCTTAGACTGGGTGCCCTTGGCCCAACCCCTAGATGGCAGCAAGGATCGCTCGGGTAATGGACGCGTCCTGACCTACTCGCAGACCTTTCCGCCCAGCGCCCGCTTCGGAGATCTGACCAAGACGGGCGGCTCTCAGTTCGACTATCCCTTCCAGTTCCAGCGTTATCCGAATGGAGGAAGTCAGGCTTTGCCGCTCCGCCAGGGACCACCACCGCCGCCAGCTAGTCTGAAGACCAGCGGAGCTGGTCAGGAGCCCACGTCGCAGTCGTTCTTCAAGTTTGAGATGCCCTTCCACAACAATAACGAGGGACAGGCTCAGGCGCCGCCCACACTGCAAACTGGTTACCAGATTCAGCATACTTTTGGAGCAGGAGCAGCTGGACTCCAGGCACCCTCTTCGCTGTTTAGTCCTCCTTCGCTTTTTGGACAGCAGCAGGGACAGCCTTTTGGATCAGACTTTCACTCTTTGGGCTCACAGAAGCCTCTGGCTCAGGCGCTGAATAAGCCACTGCATCAGCAGAACTATGTCCAGGATATACTGCCTCCCAAGACTTTGGGAAAACCACTGCCCACACAGCCCTCCCTACAGAGCGTGACGCCCCAGGTCTTTCCTGTAAACCCAGAACCTGAGAATCTCTTTGGCTTAAACAAGGCAGCTCCTTCATCAGCTCCTTCCTCCAGTCGGGATCAGGATGTGCAGTTGCTGTATGTCCCCTACGATACCCTGTACAACCAGCAAAGACAGCAATCGGGATTGGGTTCAGGTTCCAGTTCCAACTTTGAGGTGAACAAGTTCAATGTCAATCCAGGCCTGCCTGCTGTGAATCCCTACCAGATCAATCAGTTCTACACACAAGATCCCAGCAGTGACTTCTTTAGCTCTGGCACAACCACCAGACCCAGTACCACCACCAGTCAGCCGCAGAGCATCTTCCAGAGCTTCGGGCAGCCGCAGCCCCAGCAAACGCAGTTCACCACCGCGAAACCCAAGCCCAAGGCTCATCAGCCCCCCTTGGCCATGTTCCTGCTGCGCTCTAGTTCCCGGCCCTCGCAATCCGATGTGGTCACTGCTCTGAGGAATGCCCACAGCATCTCCGTGATTGACTCACCCACCAAGCAGACGCCGGAAATCTTTGTGGGTCCCGCCGGCATGCCCATTCCCGAGGGCTATGTGAAGTTCGATCTGCCTTACCTGTCGCAGCTCTCGCAGAATCGGGATCTTAGTGATGTCTCATTCTTTGTAGCTCCCTTGAGTTACAGGACTCCAAATGGCTTCAACAAGATCCTGCTGCCAGAGCCCCATGTGGGTTCCATTGTGGTCAATAGGGCCAAGGATATTGGAACAAGTCAGCAACTGTCGCCTCCGGCCAGGCCCCAGCGTCCCTATGCCACTGTGAGCAGCACCCGCAATCCCTTCGAGAGCACTACCTCCCAGTCACAGCTCCAAGCTGGCCAGAGCCAGATTCCTGGACGTGGCAACAAGTTTAGCTACTACTATGTCCAAGATGGCATCCAGGAGGTGAATGCCCCCAAGGTGCCCGCCAAGCAGGAGCGTCACAAGAAGAAGCGACCCCAGAGCGTCCAGGTGGATCAGCCCCAGCAGTATCGTCCTGCGCCCACCAAGGCCCAGAGCCAGAATCCCTTTGATAATCTCAACCAGATTGGCGGCGATGATTTCTTCAAGACGCTGGGCACCAAGCCCACCACTACCTCTACTTCCAGTACCTCCACATCGACTACGACGTCCACAACTTCCACGACTGCTGCACCTCAATCCTTGTTTACCTACAGCACCCGCCCGCAGGTGGAGTTCCCCGGCTCCAGTGGCCAGCTGTATCCCCAATATGTCCAGGAACCTGTTCAGGAGCAACTTCTTAGGTTGACCACGCGTCCTCCAACCGCCTCCACAGCAGAGGAAGAGCAGCGCATGAAGCAGTACTTCCGTCAGCAAGATGCCTTCCGCCAGCGGCCGCATACCACAAATCCTCCTTTCGAATATACTCCAAGCTCACTGGACTACGAGGTTCCCCTGCCCACAACCACCACGCAGAGGATCAAGACCAAGCAGCGGGTTAATCTCTACACCCCAGCCGCTGTTCCAGTGACCACTTCGGATGTGGGTTACAATAACGTGGAGCAACAGGCTCCTCTCAACCATCGTCCCAGCTACAGTCAGGTGCAGAACGAGATCCTGGACAACAGCAATGTGGAATATGACCCCAATCCCTACCATGTGCCCTCGGAGTTGCCACCCCTGACTCCAGATATTCCCGGATTGGTGAACAATCTGCAGGAGAAGGATAAGTTGCAGCCATCCGTGGCCACCACTCCTTTGCCTGAACCAGAACCAGAGACACGACCAACCAGGAGACCCGTGCTCCGCACCCGCAAGCCAGCTGTGACCAAGGTTACCTCTTCTGTGTCCTACTCCGAGTCGGAGTCCTCTGGCAAGCTGCCCACTCACCGCATCAGGAGGCCCTACAGCAGCCGAGGAACCACGGCACCAGCAGCCTCTACAGGCAGCGGAGATGGCGGCGAGGAATCATCGGTCACGCCCACACGTCGTCCTACCAGCGCCCGGAATCCCCTGATCCGTAATCCCAATCGCATTCGCTACAGGCCCACCACCGATGAGCGTCAGACGCTAAAGACCAAGACCAGGAAGGGATCGAAGAACGGCAAGGGCAGCGAGGATCAGGATTTGGATTACCAGCGAGATGTGCTAAAGCAGAACTACCCAGTGTTCAAGGCGTCCTCCAGGCGGCCCACTAGCCCCACGGCCATTCCTAGCTCGTACGATGTACAGGGAACTACCGAAGGACCCGCCTCCGAGTCCCAGCAGGTCTACACGGTGACCCCCAGCAACAGCATTGATAACAGTGGCAACGAGCAGAGCGGTTTTCCCACCAATCTGCTGGAACCCATGCAGATAGCTCAGCATTATCAGGAGTTCTCCAAGGATAACTATGGACCGGGTTATTTCCCCAACCAGGAGGATCTCAATCCCACGGAGGCAATTGTACGCAATGAAGTCAGTCCTATTTTCACCACCCTGGCCACCACGACGCCTTCTACTACGACGACTTCGACTACAACAACCACAGAGGCGCCTCCAACTACCACCACCAGACGTTCGCCTTTTGTGAGAAGGAATTATCCTAGGCTGAGGACAACCACGACCACAGAGACGCCTGTGACCAGTACCACGCCCTCAGAGGAGAGGCCATCTGTAAGGGAAATCAAGGGATTACAAGAGAAGGAAATTATTAATGAAGTCTTTAATTTATTTAGATCCGCTCTCGTCTGCCTCCCCGTCGCGTGGTGAAGGTGCGTCAACGCCAGCGTCGTCCTGCACATCCAGCTTCTTCCTCAACAGTGGCGCCCGAAGAGGAATCGGAACCAGTTACCCAAAAGGCAAATCTGCGCAAACTGAGTCGTTACAATAACCCAGAGGTGAAGGACAAGGAGGTACTTTCCATAACTTTAAAAAAATAATTTCCCTTTTTTAATAATAAACCCTTCTCCATAGACTCCCAGTCCCACTCCCCTCACCCAGCGACGTCGCTATAAGCAACCCTTCCAGCTGGAGGGTCAGGAGTCCCAGTGGTCTCCCTCCTCGGAAACAGCCAACAGCAACTCCAACTCGAACAGCTTCAAGCCCCTGAATCCCAAATTCAAAACTGAGACTCACAACTTTGAGAGTGAGCCAGAGATAGTGACCATGGGACCCACGGAACAGCCAGAAACCTACGAGTTCAATGTGGCTGCCGATTTGGGAGGATCAGGGGGTCAGCGCACTACCATCAAGGCGCCCAATCTCAAGTAGGAATTAAAGACTTTACCCTTATTTTCTGCTGAAACTAAAACCTTTACCTTACAGACCCGAGAAATCCTTTGCCGAGCTTCTAGAGGAAGTGATGGGCAAGGCACCGGAGGATCACACCACCGAGTCACCCAGCAGTACCTTGGGACGCCTCAGCCGACGTGGCAAGTGGAAGAAGAACCGTGTGGCCACCGATAACTCTGAAAACTTTGAGACAGCCGAGTCCCAGAATCTGGGACCGCAGTTGTACAATGCCCTGCAAGCGGCCGGCGAGAAGGAGGAGCTGCCCAAGACCACAACTCCCCTGACCGCCATAGTCACTGAAATCCAGACTGAAGCCCTGGCCATAACCACCACAATGGCTTCGCCCACAACGCCTGAAGAGTACGAGGTGACCACCGCCCGCGCTGTGGAAGAGGCCACCATGACCTCCACACTGCCGGTGAGCGAGGAGAGTGCCACGCGTCGCATGGACACTGCAGCAGATGTGGACGATCTGGAGTCGCAGCCCAGCATCTTTTCCGAGGTGAGGAAGCAGCTGCATGACCTCTTTGCCATTGAGGAGAGCGAGGATGAGGCGGTGACCGCCGCTCTGGCAGCCGTGGGCAAGCGTCGCCAGGAATACACAAGCATTCGTCGCACCAGCCCAGCGACGCCTGCGGAGAAAACCACACTGGCGCCGGCTAATGAGGAGGAGGAAGCCAAAGCAACCGCCACCACCACAGAAGCCACCGTTGCAGAGAGCAAAAAGGATAGCTTCCACAAGGATCTGATGGAGCATGTGGTGTATGCCACCTCAACGTCGACCAAAGTAACCTCCGAGACGGAGATCTGCTACCGCGGACGCTGCATTCGGTCCGAGGATCTGCCCGCCAACCACAAGCTGCACTGAGCACAGAAACACCAACTCCAACTCCTCCGGTAGAGAGGTAGACGCAGCGATTGATCATGTACATAGGGGCAGAGGGGATGCGGACAAGGAGGCTGCTCCTTCGGGACCGCGTCCACTTGTAATTACCTAGCTTTAACTACAAATATTTTAAGGATAAGCTAACAGAAAAGGGGAGGTTCTTGGATAGGATATGGGAGAAGTACATCGTAATCCTATCAGGGAACTTCCTCCACACAAAAACCCCTTGAGATTCCCCACACTTAGAGAAATTAGTTGCTAGTTTCGTAGAGTTAGCATTACGTCAGGATAGTCTTGTAAGTCTTGTACCATATGTACTACGAATAATACCAATAAAAACGAAACGAAATACATAAATAATATATATATTTATATATTTGTATATATTCCGTATATAACTAGACATAAATACGTATGTGTTTGTGTGTGTCATGTGTATAGCTCTATTAATACGATCAATTCCATGGAATGCATCGTCTCCCACAAGGTACAAAAGTTTCACAATTACAACCAATCCTTTGGTTTAGGCATCTATGAGCGGGGCACGATCCTGGTCAGCTTCTTCAGGCTCAACACCACTACCACCTGCTGCAGGTGAGGGTGTTCTGGTGGCAACAGGTGAGTTCCAAGATTGGACACCAGTTCTTCCGAAAAGCATAAACAAAAGGTTGCCAATAAAGTAAACAAAGGCGGTGAAGAAGAACACTATGCGCCATTGAGCGGGATTTGTCTGGAAAAGAATTAAAACAGAAATTATTCACAGAATATATAAAAGATCAAAAGCTTATATACACTTACCTCATCCCACACAATCAGTCCCACAATCAGAGGCGCCAAGATGCTCATAAAGTTCGCCGCACAATTCGTAATCCCCATCAAAGTGCCCGCAAAATTCGGCGACAAATCGATGTGATTTACATGGAAGCCCAGATACGTGGCCGAATTGGTGGCCACCGCTGCCGTCAGCAGTCCTATGGCCAGTCGTACATTGGCCTCACCCTGGGTAATGTAACCCAGTCCCACCAATGCCAACATGGGCAGCCACATGCCCAAGGTATTGAAAAACTTTCTGGAGAAACTCAAAGGTATCGCCGTAGCTCTTTGCTTCAAAACATCCGACAGCCAAATAAAGACACAGGTCAGCAGGATCATGGCAAAGTAGGGCAGGGCAGACAGTGGGCCATTGCTCTTGATATCCAAACCCAGGACATTCTTCATAAAGGTAGGAATCTCCGTGAGCAGCGTCCAGAAGCCCCAGTTGTTGGCACAGTGAGCGAGGACAAGCACCAAAAATGGTCCCGAGGTAAGTATCCTCAACCAGGGAGTCTGCATTCTCGGCTGCTCTTCGCGTCCAGCATCTGACGACCTTCTCGCCTGTCCCGAGGATTCTATGTAGCGCCTTTCGCTGGGTGAGATTGAAGGATGTTGTGCTGGCGTGCTGGAGCAATAGAAGTACCACACAAAGGCCCACAAGATGCCAGCGCAGCCGGGAGCATAGAAGGTGCTGGGCCAGCCAAGCGAAGAGGAACATATGTAGCCACTAACCGAAAGCATAACCACGGTGCCAAACTGAGATCCCGAGTAGCAATAGCCCACCAGACGGCCGCGCTCCTCCGCTGGCGCCCATTTCGAGAGGAACGTGTGTGTGGAGGGAAAGATGACTCCTTGGCAGAGGCCTTGGACAGCTCGAAGCACCACCACCAGCTTCCAGCCTCCATAGTCGGCACAGAAGGGTGTGAGCAGTGCCAAGCAGGAACAGATGAGAACGCCAAAGAAGAGCATGTACTTGGCTCCATAAATGGCAGAGAGATGGCCTCCGGGCACCTGGGTGACCACATAGCCCCAGAAGAAGCTGCTCAGCAGGTAGGACTTGGTGCTCTCATTCCAGTCGTATTCCTGTAAGGAAAAGGGTTAAAGAACTAATTAGCAGGGTTTAAATTAATTATATTTGCATTTCTTAATATATGTAGTGTGGTTTTTAAGTTCTTAAAATGTTTCAAATTCTAATTTTACACTATTTAAACCATTTTACAAGATTTTTTGGTAATTGCAAAGTTCGAGTAAGAATAATTTAATATTTAAAACCTTTTAAGCTCTCTACGATAAGTTTCTTAAGCCTTTATAGGTCTTTCATTTATTTTAAACTCATAAACAATAAAAATTATTTAAATGAATCAATGATTCATTATTGAACCTTATCTCTAAAGTTTTCCAATTTCCCGCTGCGTAAAAAATGGATCAAGTGAAGGAAAACTTTGAAATAATAAGAACTGAAGTAGAATAATGAAAAATATTTAAGAAAAATAAAACATTAAAAATAATTTCCAGGAATTACTGAACTACAATTTAAATTTGATTTAAAATTTTTTTAATTATTAAAAAAATATTATTCAAAAAATATACAAATAATTCTTGGAAATACCACTTTTAAAATAGTAAAAAAGAAATAGTACTTTGGCAACAAAATAAAAGGAAAATAAAAGAAAATTAAACTAATAACAGTAATTCTCTTACTTAAAAATTCATAGAAATTTCTTATACAACAATAAATGTATATGTATATAACTTACCGGAAAATCATGATTACTGCTATTCCTATCCGTCATGGCCACAATGGCCACGGAGAGATTCACGCGCAGGGAGTAGGCCACCGCCAGCCCAAAGAACACCAGGATGCACTGCAGGTGACGTACACCAAACCGAGGACCTGCAAATGCGCAATTCATCCACGTACATACATATGTTAATAGACGCAAAACAAAGGCCACAAGGTCGCGGACTCACCCGTGTTCCCAATCTGCTGATAGCCATTGCGACCGCAGCAGGGCAGGCAGCCGAGCACCATGTCGCAGGTGCGGATGCAGTTGCAGGTTTAATCTTATCCACGTAGCCAACTTGGAGGCTGTATTAGATGAGCTGGAAGTGGGGGCGGGCGGTAGACTGGGGGAGAACAACAGCGGACGAGCGTCCAAACAATAATAACAGCTGATTTACTCCAAAAATTTGCCACAGCTGCGAAACTATCGAAGCTATCGAAACTAAGGCTCTAACAAGTGTTAGATAAATTATGCGAAAGGGTCACACTAGGCAGCAGGTGCATAAGGGAAAATTCTTTAAATTTGCATAGATTCAAAGATAAATTTGAATGGTTTAAAAATGTTAAATTAACTTAAAACATACACATGCTTCTTACATTCATAACTATAAAAGAAAATGTTACCAAAATTGAGCTACAGCAAATCCAACTAGTGGAAATAGCACATCAAACAAAGGTCGCCTCTCGATAGTCCAGCATCTATCGATAATTTACCGTTAGCGCCGACTTTCTATCAAATTCAAATCAAATCAAACCTTCCAAAAATACAAAACACCAATGATTATGTTACATTTTGACTCGTTTTCAGCTGCGAATTGAGCTGTTTTATTCATGGCTTGAATGGTCTTTATCTTTTTTTCTTTCTTTTTGTTTTCTTGTTTTTTTTTTTGCCTTTTTTAGTTTACTTTCTTTCATCACAAGTTTGGTTTTTTGTTAATGCCTAACTTAAGACTAAAACATATAACAATTACTAGAGCAGGCGACTCCGTCCCTATTTCCACTGAACGCTTTCTCAATTTGCAAGTTGAATTGGTTTTGTTTTTCTTTCTTTCTTGTTTTTCTTTTCTTTTTTACGGATTATGTACATTACGGAAAATACTGCAAACAATAATAATTTACGCTGGTCTTACGGACTAAGCAATTACCGTATAATATCGCTAATGGAAGCACGCGATCGTCACTAAAGTTAACTTTCAGCACTCGTCTCTAACTAACTAACTAAGCCTACGAACTACGAAACAACAGCCCGGTTGGATGACTCTCGAGGCGGTTCCAGCCTCTCACTCTCTCTGTCTCTCTATTTGTGCTGACCGTTGGGCGACAGGGGCGTGCCCTGCTCCGCATCCTCCTTGTTGTCACGCGGGGAGTCCCACCATTGCACCTCCGTTCGGCCAAAGATCACAAACAGCAGGTTGCCCACAAAGTAGAAGGCGGCGGCCAGGAAAAACACCAATCGCCAGTCGCCCACGCTTTCCTGAGGAGAAAGGATACCATTTAGTAAAGGATTCCCAAAGAGAGGTAATTATCTGAACTCACCTTATCCTGGACAATCAGACCCACAATCAGGGGGGCAATGGCGCTCATCACATTCGCCGCTCCATTAGTCAGACCCATCAGTGTTCCGGCATAGTTGGGCGACAGATCGATGTGGTTCACCTGGAAACCCAGATAGGTGGCCGCACTGATGCCCACCGTCAGGGTGAGCAGGGCCACGGCCAGCGGTGCATCCTCCTGGGGCACATAGCCCAGAGCAATCAGCGAGCACATGGGAATCCAGTGACCAATGCTGTTGAAGAGCTTCCGGTTGAAGGATAGGGAGAGTCCCTCCTTTCTTTGCAGGACCTTGGACAGCCAGACGAAGAAGAAGCTGAGCAGGAGCATCACCAGGTAGGGAAGCGAGGAGAGCAGGGCACTCGACTTGATGTCCACATGATAGATGCTCTTCATGTAGCTGGGAATCTGGGTGAGCAGCAGCCAGAAGCCAAACATGTGGGTGCAGTGTACCACCAGGAGGGACAGGAAAGGCAGGGAACTGAAGATGGCCACCCAAGGCGTGGGAGCTAGCTTCTCGGCCGACTGCATCTTGCCATCGCTGCGGGATTCCGTGATGAACTTGAGCTCTCCAGGCGAAATCAGGCGGTGCTCCTCGGGCGTGCTAGCCGAAAACAGGTACCAGAAGATCATCCACAGGAAACCGCAGGCTCCTCCCAGATAGAAAATGCTTGGCCAGCCCAAAAAGGAGTCCGCAATGAATCCACTCGTGGCCAGCATTATCACCGTTCCAAATTGGGCACCCGAGTAGCAGATGGTTCCCAAGATGCCCCTCTCCTCGGCGGGCGACCACTTGGACAGCAGAGCATGTGTGGCGGGATGGACAGCACCCTGGCTGAGACCCATCACGAATCGCATGGCGCACAGAGCCAACCATCCTCCAAGTTTCAGGGACAGCGGCGAGAGCATGGTGATAATGGCAGCGATACCCAAGCCCCACATCAGTAGGATTTTGGCACCATAACGTTGGGCAATATAACCACCGGGCACCTGGGTGACGACATAGCCCCAGAAGAAGCTGCTCAGCATGGCGGATCTCTGGCCCTCGCTGAAGGTGTAGTAGCGCTGTGGGGATAAATGGGGATTAGTTTTTATCTTCTAAATAAGATATAGATTCTAAAATCCTATAGAATGATTTGAAACTTGGCTTACTTATGTATTTTGATTAGCTTAATGCGAATAATTAAAGGTTAAGCTAAATAAAATTCAAGTTCATAACAAAAACCTCAAAAACCGCATAATATAAAAAATATCTCAAGGGTAAAATAACACATTTCTTCAAGCATTTAATTTAGTTAAAGGAAATGAATTATTATAGCTGATATTAATATACTTTAAACTATATAGTAAGCAATATCTTATCAGCATTTTTCGTTTTATCAATGGGTTTTTTATCACTTCAATTAAACATTATCATGAACAGCTCATCAAAGTACTTAAAACCAGGAAAATTGCAGATCCCAAGAGCTTCCTTAACTCACCTCCGAATTGAAGAGATCAAATCCAAAGTCATCATCGTCTTCACCACTGAAATCCGTATCATTCTCGGCCAGGCGGTCGGTGTTGTTAACCGCCGGGTGCTCTGTCATGGCCACCACAGCCACACTGAGGTTCACCCGCCAGGCATAGCTCATCGCCAGGCAGAAGAAGCACAGGATGCACTGCACATGCCTCACGCCGAAGAATTTCTCTGCAAGAAGAGGATACACAAGCATTGTATTGGGGGGAAAATACTGAACATGTGGCGCTCTCTTATCACTGGGAGCTCTCGCTCGCTTTGTATCTCAGTATCTCTGCAGCTCCGTATCTCTTTCTCTCTCTCTGAGTGGGCCCAAACTGGTAGCCATGTAAGTATGTGGGGCGCGTTTATTTATAAAACACTTTGACTATGTCAAAATCTTGTTCACGGCACGCACATGCGGCCAAAGAGAGAGATGGAGATGGAGACATCACATACACATGGACACCCACTCGGGCCAAAATCAAGAGAGACCGATGTCTTTGTTGTGTAAACTGCAACTGTGACTGTACTATACAGATACCTATACCTATATATACCGATATAAGATGCAAGTGGCCCACACAGACTACCTGATCGGGCGATCCTCACGTGACGATCCCAAAACCGATCCGATCTCTCGAGGGTATGTGGTCCGGTCTGGGCCTTACGCGGATTTGTTTTCACGCATTTGGCTATTTTTAAACCCGACTTTGGTTGGCCATAAATGGCTTAGTCTTTATAAATAGGAGTCTAGATGGTTGGCTTGTTGATTGGGTGGTGCTGGTGGTGTTGTTTGTGGTGCAACACCGCTCCACCGCCGGCAACCTTGCAACGCGGCCTTACAAGGCGTTGGGGTCTATTGAACTCCGCTCTGGCTTGATTCCAAAACCAATAATTAACTAACTACAGTCTGAAGTCTTGATACTACAATTTCCTAATAAGTGATTCATATGACTTGAAAATTAGTCAGTTTCTGGTTATTTTATGGTTGTTATATAGGGTTCATAAAGCCTTATCTCTGTTAATTTGATTTCTACTGGACTTGAAAATCTAAATGTTAAATGAATAATTTCACAAAACAAGCTTTGTGATAAGAAAAGTTCTAAAAGGAGGTCATAAGTAGAAATAGATTGGGTGGGTATTCAATTGAGGAATATTCCAAGAACAAGTTTAAATAATTTCTAAAAATATTTAGCTATCAATAGTACTTATAGAAGCTCTACTGTATTTCCTAAAATTCCTCATTTAAATTGCTGTCGAAATTGATTAAAAATTTTCCACATAAAGACTTGTAAAAAAATATCTCTCTACTGAAGTTGGACTGTATTTCCAATAAATTCAAATTTGAATTGCTGTCCGAACTTTGAGCTCTCTCCCTCTCTGTTTCTCCCACTTCCCACTTCCATTTCCTCTTGGTGAGGCGGTCTCTCTCTCGATCTCTCTCTGCGCTTCTACCGCCGTCTCTTTCGACGTCTGCCGTCTGCCTCCTGCCGCCGCCTGCCTGTGGTTTATCGTGTTGAACGCGATGACTCGTGGTCGTGTGAGAACGCTTTATCTGACACGTTTTTAAATTTATTTGCGCAATGTCTTCCCCTACAGCGTAACACCCGAGCGAATTTATGGCCAAGATATAGGGAACTTTTTTTTGTCTCGCGCTAAAGAGTTTACCGTACGGTCGTACCGAAAATAAAACCCCGTCTTGCTAACCTTATTTTCAACGAAAAAGCACAACCCAAATCAATCAGCATTTACGGAGGCAACCCCCCCGTAGCCATAAAGTCCAGAGAAGGCTCCAGCTTTGAGTGTTTATTGGAGACCATTTATGTGTATATAGTATAACTATGGTCGAGTATATTTTGATTGATTGCCAGGGGCTATGGCACTGTATGGTGACTGTACTTTCGGGCCATTAGGTGTGGGAGAGTGCGGACAATCGAAGGACACGGCGGCGTATACACAACAATAACGGTAACTGAGTCAAGTGTGCCGGCCGTATTGATAACCGATAGGCAACGATAAAAACTGGAACGTAGCGGAGGCGGAGGAGGTTTCCAGGCGATAAGATTATCTAACTAACTATCTTTTCAGTCCTGTTGTTACACAGCCAGCAGAGAGGGAGCCCTTTGTTTACCGTTAGTTTAGCTTTACAACTGTAAATTCAGTCGGCAAGCTTATTTAGCTTTATCAGCTGACTTAGTCGGTCGCCCCCTCATTCCATTGTGCCCCGTGCCAGCGGGTTTTCTATTTAAAGTTTTTCTCATTTTCATTGGCGCAGAGACACTTCCCCTCCTTCCTCTACCTTCTCCTCTCGTTTTCCTCTTATTTAATTTTTTTTTTTGTTTATTTTTATCACCCGAAA